GCATGATTCTAGTTTCCTTCCTTAGTGTCCCCCTTCCCAGCTCTGAAACCACAGAGCCTTACCTGTGTCCCTGTTCCCATTCCTGCCCTTAGCTAAACATGATTCCAATTTCCAACCTCCATTCCCTGTTCCCATTTCCCTCCCTTACTTCCTGATTGACTGCAGACTATATAGTAAAACTTGAGTTCTGCTTAGCTATACCTTAACCAATCATTTTACTGAAATGTAACTAACGAATCCTAAAATATTGTAACACGATTATTTCATCAATTATATCCCACCACCTTAATTAGTTTACACCCAGCAAAATTAATTATACAGCAGACAAATGATCACAGAACCAGACAAAAAGAAAAGGAGTACTTGTGGCACCTTAGAGACTAAGCAATTTATTTGAGCATGAGCTTTCGTGAGCTACAGCTCACTTCTAGAACCAGACAGAGATTATACAGACAAACAATAGGGAAATGGGGACTACAATGACAGAACAACGAAGAAATGAGGATTTCACATCCCAGCTATTGATAAATGAGTTCTTGCCAGACAGGATGCTATCAAACTAAGTTTCCTTTTATATCTTCTAGGCACTTACTTCCCTTTCTCTGGAGGCGATAGGCATTATCAGGACAGGATTGTATTCCTAACAGCCCAATAGCACCTTATTTCAATGTGACTAGTTTGGAATGTGAGGATGTGACCTGTCCCTTCCCAGCTTATGGCTGTCTCTGTTGCTTAGCCAAAGGCCTTAGCCTAAGAACAGGGCCTCAGACTGTCACAGTAAGAGAAGGCCCTTACACCGGCAGACAGTGATTTTGATTCTTTCTTTTATACTGCTATAACTAGTTAAGTGATGATACACCTAAATTCTTAGAGTATAGGCCTTTACAGACAGGCCTGAATATCTATATCCTAACAAGTACTTGGAAGTATTTTAATGTCTAGGTTCCTAAAATAGGAACTGTTCTTAAATTTACAAAGATGTTGAAATGAACTAAAAGTACCCAAACAAGCTTCAGAAAGTACCTGTTAGCCCAGAATAGTTAACTTGCAAGAGCAACTAGTATAAAATGTTATAACTGACACTCCCAAAAGCAAGGGAACTACATGGCAGTGCTGAGACATACAACGCTGACACTTATTACAGCTGCCTAATGTCCCTGATATTCAGTGCACACCCTCTTGCAGCTGCCTTCAGTGCAATGGCTATTGACCCATGATAGAGGTACACAGGGTACATTCAGTAATGTTGGACTTCTCTAGAAATCCGACAGTAGAGAGAGATTTGTTCCTAGCCTGACACTAATGCTAGTGATCAACCACACACTAAACTGTACTGCTGAAATGTTCTTGTGGACTTGAAGTTTCTTGTTAAATATCGATACTTCACAATAAGCCTTGAAAAAATAAAATTGTAACTTCTAGGCCAATGTATCTTTCAGCCCAATGACTCAAGATAGCAAAACATACAACTGGCCTAAAATATAAAGTGGTAACCAAGATGCTGATGACAAAACTAATGTGTAAACCAATTAAGAGTTTAAATAAATTCATGCTTCCAGCTATCCCAGTTTCTGTTCTCTTCCTTTGTTAGGCAATACATGGAAATTGTGTAAAGTGAAGTTTCTCTTGGTGCTGCTTATTGCCCAAATGGAAGTTCTTACATTCCTGAGTTCTCTGGAAATGCTATAGGGTGGCTAATTATGAAATAAGCACATTCATATTATATTTCAACATAACTCTTCTTTGAAGGAAAAACCAGTCAGTCAATGGCTTAAAATTATTTAAATCTAACGTCAAGTCTGTTTGCTTATGTTACATACAGAATGGGTCTACAAACAAATGTATAAGGTTAAAGACCATGTGACACTTGTCCAGAGTCAATTTGACTGAATTAAAACTCTGGTGCTTTGGGTGTTTTTGGGAGACTACAGGCTTTAACTTACAGCTTTTCAGGGAAGGGACTTTCTCCTTAGGCACTATGCGAATAAGTACTAAACACAAAACTAAACTAAACACTAAACTAAATAAGTACTAACACAATGGGACTCTGATTTAATTGAAGCCTCTAGGTGCTGCTGCTGTTTGGGTTTGGTTTTTTTTTTAAAAAAAGATATTAATAGCCATGATGAACAGGTGAAGAAGGGTTCTAAACCTCTTTGCACTGGATTTAGTGTATTCAAGAATTCACGTTAAATTGTCTGTTACTTTAAACTTGTAAACTATGGCTATGAACAATGCTTTGATTGGTCAGGAAAAGTGAGATATAAGTAATACAGTGATTTGGTTGTCTTTCTCCCCAGGTCAAGAGTAATCTGAATCCAAACGCAAAGGAGTTTGTTCCAGGGGTGAAGTACTAAATATATGAGTAGACTGGGCCCTCTTTTGGTGGATGTAGCACAATTTCCACACTGTGAAGCCAGTATTAGAAGATTTAATTGTAAAAGCTCTCTCTTCTCGTCACTGTGTTACACTTATGCATTGCCAAAGTTTTGTTAGTCTTGCATGCTTAATAAAAGTGCTGAGACTGTTATTAAGTAAAAAGCTGTCAAAAGTTTAATGAAAACATAATTGGACCCTGGCTTTCTGTGAAGGAGACAGTGAGGTAAGAAGCACCAGTCAAGTTGAGACAAAGTACCAAATTTTTTAAAACCTCTTGCAGACTCTGTCTTTTTAACAGGATTTAACTAAGGATGGTCTGTTACTAAAACATGTCAACTGGTGTTAATTTGCACCTGATAATGCCTTAACTTAAAAATAAAAGCAAGGTTATCGGATCATTATGCAAATTAGCTAACTTTCCGTTTCAGTATTTTTACTAATGTTAATTTTTTTCCTTATCAAGAAAAACTTTACTTCATGCTCTTCTTTTTGAGAAGTGTAAATGAACTATCATACCAGACTTTCACAGACCTGTACAGAGTCCTAGATCTCAGCTACTGAACTAACAAATAAGCAGTTGGAAGAAATTTCCTGTATTTACAGTCTATCATGTTACAAATGTTTGTTTCACTTCCTAATTACATTTAAGGAGATGTGAGTTTCATCACAATTTCTTCCAAGAACTTGGATACATAGCACACTGTCTATGTAACTTTTAGCATACAACCTTAAGATAGCTGGATTTAACCAAGAAACCTTTAGCGTTAGTGATTTGAGTGGTGCTTTTCCCTTGCTTTGTTTAATCATCACTACACAATAGTCTACAGCACAACAACTTTTTTCTTTTAATAAAGCTAGAACAGTTTTGGCTTCTTAAACTTCATATTTGGGTAGGTTAAGCTGCCATACGTGTTCAGTGTGAATAGTGTTTAAGTTGAAAATATTGTAAAAAAATTATATTTTTTCAAAAATATTTAAAAAAATAAATAATAGTAGAAATGATTTGGTGATTGTCTCTTTTAATATGCACCCTGCTCAGACACTCGCATTTGGTAGTGTGAGGAAATGAGGGGGATAATTCTGCTCTACCCCAGCAAGACTAGTGCTTTAGGTTTTAATGAGTGGTGCTCCTTGTAACAGGCTAGACCAAAGTAATGACTTGAAGTTGGTATCTGGTTTACTTCTCCTTTCTTCATACTAGCATTTCCTTGACAATCTTCCCTTAGGTACATTTCTCACTACTACTAATGGCAGTTCAACTCCATCATTGCTTGCAGTATTGCAAACCCTGGTATAGACAGTGCCCAGCTGATGGCACCATTTGAGGGACGATGGCTAAAACTGTCAGAAGCTTTCAGAAGCTTTTATGGCACAATCTGAGTCCTGCCACACTTTGGGTGTCACAGACAAATTGCGCCTGAATGCAGCTGATAATGAAAAGCTGTTGGAAGACACTGGAAAGGGACTTAAATGATCATTATGGGTATAGTGGGTAGCTTCAAAGTGTTGGCAGAATAGAGATGGATCCTAATTTCCACCCAGCTAGCTTTGTTTAATGTTGCACTTAAAGCTGAACTGACTTTCTCTGAGATGAACCCGAATCCTTTCTGTCCTTCTACTTATATGTACTCTTGACAATGCCAGCATTTTATTTTAGAAGCTTTGTTTCCATTCAAATCTACTGGATTACTTCCTCTTCTGATCGTAGGCATGTTGAGTAATTTATCCACACACGGGTATTTGGTAATCAAGCACCCATTTCTAGTACTGATCAGCAACTTTAATATTTTCTACATTTAGAATGAGAAATCACCACCTAGAAAAATCTCTGGAGATTAGGGGGGAAAATAAGATGAATTTGACAATCTAGTATAAATCTACACTATTGGAGGCCATGCCCACTTTCAAGATATTTACAGATTCTACCAAACTAGACCAACTAACCTCAAACTGCACCCACTGGCCTCTCCAACATCTTATGACATCTGTCTCCATTTACTAGCCCTGTCCCCTCCTAAATCATTCCCCTTTCTAATACATGTCTCGTCAGGTCTGTAGCTGACTTCTTAAGGGAAGCAACAAAAACCTTGATCTCATCACTTCCTTTCTTACATTTCCTTTGAAGAATGGTGCTTAGAGCCTAATATCAGTATCAAATGTTAGGTGAACATGAAATGTCAAGTTAAAAAAAAAAAAAAATGCCACACTACTGGGGTTCCCCCCCCCCCACCTGCAGCTGGGGAGTAGGGTGAATTTCACCCCAGAAGAGTGCTCCTGCATTGCCAACACCATTTCCTCCTCCAGCTTTAGTTGTCTTTGAAAGGGTCTCCAAACTCTCGGTGAGTCGACTTGATTAAATTCTGAGATGTGATGCTATGGAGGCATGTGGCTGCTAAATGCTTTCACTTGCATACAGAAAAGGAGTACTTGTGGCACCTTAGAGACTAACCAATTTATTTGAGCATAAGCTTTCGTGAGCTACAGCTCACTTCAACACAGCTGTTACTCTGAAACCTGTCACTTGCATACACTATATGTAGGAGCCTGCTAGTGGTAGAGTAGTAATGCAACCAAGAATCTTTAAAATGACTTAGACAGCAGAAAAGAGCTAACAAAGCATGTGTAGTATGAGAAGTTTATTAATGATATTCAAAGTGGCAGTGGGTGTTCTCTGGGAGCGTTGCTAGTCAGTCACATAGAAGCCCTCCCCTTTTAGATCCTATCACTTATCAGCAAGGGAGCTCAGGCACACTTGCATATCCAGTCACAAGCTGCATTTTGGTGTTAACAGGGCAATTCATCAGGGTCCAGGGAGGGATCACCTTTGCATTAAACATATCCATATTCAGTCTAGTCAAGCTGCAGTGCTTGTGCATTCCATTTCCTAGGGAGATGCGTTTACAGGTATGACTTGGTGTAGTGGTTTCTTGCAGAAGTTTCCTACTAGGCAATTCTGGAAAGTGACTGGGCACAATATCTGATCCTGTGTTCAGAGTCAATTTCTCATGTTTACTTCTCTTAGCCCTGCAGAGCCAAGGCAGCTCAGAAAATGAGCTTGTCTGTTCATCCTTGGACATAATTAAGTTATTTAAGATCTAATTATACTTATGCAAACTATTGAAAGTTAGGTAGTTGCTCAGCTGTTATTGGTGCAGCATTTGTCTAGCAGAACTTTCTTCATAAGGTGGAAAAACGCTGCTTTACTCTGGTCATGAACTGCTGAGTATGGAGGTCATTGCTACATTGATGCTATCCATCAGAGCCTGTGCTAACAAAAGGTTCTGAATCTCAGCCCATTGGATCAGGGATTCAGGTAGGTGTTAATGGGCCTCCATGCATGACAGATCAAGAATTCTAACACCCGCCTGGCAAAAATCTTAACTATTAATTGTCCATTAAATAGCAGTGTGGCAAAGGCCAAGGTAGTTTACGCTCAATGTAACAGGCAATAGGAAAGATGGTCGGTGTAGCAGAGCTATCCAACATAAACTTTTCCAGGGTTACGCTGCAGGACTAGTTAGGCAAATATAGGGGCAGTTCTCTCCACTGTCAATGAAAACAGAAACAAATGATTTGGAATATTAATGTATTGAATACATTATCCCCCCCAAAAATCATAGTCTCCATATTAAGTGTGCCATGGTGGCCATGCTGATCCAGAATTAATCCCTGGTATAAGTCTGCTGAAGTTTATTGAGTTACACCAGAAATTAATTTAGCCCAGAGTGTCCAGATAGCAGTTTATTACACAGGATGACCAGTTGAGCTGTGTAAAACTTGAGCTAGTTTTGCCTAGATTCATAAACATTCTAGTGAATCTGAGCCAAGTTTTGAACAAATCTTAAACCAGTTTGGGGTTAGAATTGGAAACTATGCAAAAGTTGTTTTGAAGTCAGTCCAGCCACAACTTCGCTGTTTTGGCTGAGCTGGTTTGGGGTTTGTTAGGATGACACACACTAGCCATATGTATAATACTGAAGGCTTCTGCGATCTCAAGAGTAAGCAGGCCACAACTGTCTCAGATGCTTAGACCGAATGTACAGTACAGCGTAAAGATGACTCAAACTAAGGTGTGTTGCCCTTTGTAGACTCCACAGGGACATGAATCAAAACTATGCGGGAACCCCTATGAACTAATCCCCTTGTTCTCCCCTCTTCAGTTTGACACTGCTCTCTGCCCTGGCCTTCCTTCAGTAACCTACGAACTAGAACTGTGGTACATTGTACCTAACTGGCACTGAACAACTTGTGCTTGTCACATTACAGGAGTCTTTCAGACCTTAGTACATATGAACAGGTTGTCTGTGTTCTCTTGTACATTTTCCATTGTGTCACAATTCCTTTTCCTTGAATGAAATCCCTTGAAAACAGGGCATACTGGCACATACGTGAACCACTGGATCCTTTTTACCACACTCATTCCAAATGGAAAATCGTAGCTTTTCAAATTTGCAGCTGTGGTTCTGTCTGCATGTGCTCCGGCCTTCCACTGAACCAGCCCACGCTCCTCCTGTGTCCCTGGGGAGAGTGAGAGATCCTGAGTGTAAGGACAGCAAAATAACTAAATAGCTTATTCATTCAAAGTAACCTTCACTGGATGTGGTTCTAGTTCTGCACAAAATGTGGTCCGGAGAAAGGATTGTTCCACAGCAGCTCAGACCATGGACTAGGCTGGTATCCTGCCTTCTGAAATGGCCAGGGCCTGATGCTTCCAAAAAGACAGAAAAATGCACCTGGCCAGTTATTCAATGCTCTATTGGGGGGGGGGACACCCCTATCTTTTATACCTGAAAGCATAAGATTGCATTACCTCTCTATCAGGGGACGGGAGATGCAGTTAAAACGATCCTGAGTTCCAGTGAGACCTCTGCATACAGGAAACATGGCAGGATCAAGCTTGTAGTGCTACCTATCTTGCTAGTGTTTGTAAAATTATCCCACCCTTTTTAAAAACAAACTCTGCCATTGTGTTTGATTCAGTGTTTTTCTGCAGCAGTGAGTTCCACGGGTTGAGTATGTGCTACATAAAATATGTCCTCATAGTTTAACTTCACTGAGTGACCCTTTGTTGTCAGGGAATGAGATGGGATATACAGGAAGGACTGACCAGTTTTACCCATCACTATATGGAATTAATTACTCAATAGATTCCTCTCTCAAAGCTTTTCTTTTCCTATTATTTAGCACTTGGCGGACCCAGTCAAGACAGGGCCCTACTATGCTGGGCCAGTGATACTCAGACTGAGGCTCATGAGTCACCAGTGGCTCTTTAATGTGTCTCCTGCCTGTGATTTAATTAATAACCGATCTATGTTACACTGTGATTTAATTAATAACCGATCTATGTTATTAACCAATCAAGATGCTTTTACTATGTTATTAACCAATTGTTGAATACTTGGTGAGTCATTTTGCTGTGAGCATTATATATATATATAACTAGTAAATGAAACAATGAATTCACACAACTGTGGCTCTTTTGCGTAACATTGATCACTGATTTGGCTCTTGAACCACTGAGGTCTGAGTATCACTGTTCTAACTCTATTCAAAGAAAGATAGATCAAATCCTGCTCTACCTCCAGCTACAACCCTGAATCACTGATTCTGCCAGAAGACAGTTCTCTGACAGCAATTAATATAGCTCAGCTTCTCCAGCCAGGACTGAAATCATAACTAAAACAGTATACAACCAGACATGCACAAAGTGAGTCAAGCCGCTGACAGCACCAGTGCATTATAAGGCCTTGTTGTGAAAGCTTGCAATGGCTGTACCTGGAATGGTGTTGTCCAATATGAAGGCAATGCCACCCCCAACAAACATTTCCGTTGTTAACAGCACTGTTAATATTTGGTCGACTTCAGGAACACCTACAAAACATGCAGAATGTTACACCAATTAACACGGAGCACAAGGTTAGATGCTACTATCTTCTGTCTGAAAAAGAAAAATAAGACTAGAGTGTGTGTATTTAAGGAGGACTGGCTGTTTTCTACCAATAAACACCAGTGATGCCATGCAATCAATAACTTTATGATTATGACGAAGGTATTTGTGGGCCCAGATTAGATTAAATTGATATTCCAAGACATCTGTTTTATCATAGAATCATAGAATATCAGGGTTGGAAGGGACCCCAGAAGGTCATCTAGTCCAACCCCCTGCTTGAAGCAGGACCAATTCCCAGTTAAATCATCCCAGCCAGGGCTTTGTCAAGCCTGACCTTAAAAACCTCTAAGGAAGGAGATTCTACCACCTCCCTAGGTAACGCATTCCAGTGTTTCACCACCCTCTTAGTGAAAAAGTTTTTCCTAATATCCAACCTAAACCTCCCCCACTGCAGCTTGAGACCATTACTCCTCGTTCTGTCATCTGATACCATTGAGAACAGTCTAGAGCCATCCTCTTTGGAACCCCCTTTCAGGTAGTTGAAAGCAGTTATCAAATCCCCCCTCATTCTTCTCTTCTGCAGGCTAAACAATCCCAGCTCCCTCAGTCTCTCCTCATAAGTCATGTGTTCCAGACCCCTAATCATTTTTGTTGCCCTTCGCTGGACTCTCTCCAATTTATCCACATCCTTCTTGTAGTGTGGGGCCCAAAACTGGACACAGTACTCCAGATGAGGCCTCACCAATGTCGAATAGAGGGGAACGATCACGTCCCTCGATCTGCTCGCTATGCCCCTACTTATACATCCCAAAATGCCATTGGCCTTCTTGGCAACAAGGGCACACTGCTGACTCATATCCAGCTTCTCGTCCACTGTCACCCCTAGGTCCTTTTCCACAGAACTGCTGCCTAGCCATTCGGTCCCTAGTCTGTAGCTGTGCATTGGGTTCTTCCGTCCTAAGTGCAGGACCCTGCACTTATCCTTATTGAACCTCATCAGATTTCTTTTGGCCCAATCCTCCAATTTGTCTAGGTCCTTCTGTATCCTATCCCTCCCCTCCAGCGTATCTACCACTCCTCCCAGTTTAGTATCATCCGCAAATTTGCTGAGAGTGCAATCCACACCATCCTCCAGATCATTTATGAAGATATTGAACAAAACCGGCCCCAGGACCGACCCTTGGGGCACTCCACTTGATACCGGCTGCCAACTAGACATGGAGCCATTGATCACTACCCGTTGAGCCCGACAATCTAGCCAGCTTTCTACCCACCTTATAGTGCATTCTTCCAGCCCATACTTCCTTAACTTGCTGACAAGAATACTGTGGGAGACCGTGTCAAAAGCTTTGCTAAAGTCAAGAAACAATACATCCACTGCTTTCCCTTCATCCACAGAACCAGTAATCTCATCATAAAAGGCAATTAGATTAGTCAGGCATGACCTTCCCTTGGTGAATCCATGCTGGCTGTTCCTGATCACTTTCCTCTCATGCAAGTGCTTCAGGATTGATTATCTACCTGCCTTCCCTTGTAACTCTGCTTATATGAGTATCTCAGGCCCACTGACTCAGTGTATGTGTTATCTCGTATCCCCTTGTCCATTTTGTTTTATTAGAGTTCCTAAAAATCTAGTTTACAAAGCACACTTCTATGTTGAAATGCTGAGAGTAGCTATAGGCACATATCAAAAGGGAGAAGAGACCAACAGCTGCAAACAAAAGCAAGCTAACTAGGGTTTAAATCTCATTTGGAGCATGACAAACGCCCTAAAGCCCCCCACATTCCTATGGAAGCTACATAAAATTCCTAATGTCATTCCATCATAATTAAGAATTGCAATATTGATAATCATTTATATCACGCATTAGCATAGTGCCCAAGAGACCCACATTCCTATCTTACTAGACGCCGAGAGTTCAGTAGAGTCCTCCACTGCAGTACTAAGAGGGGATATAAAGCATGTTTTGAGGCTTTCATTCAGAGAGGCATACCTGTGTTAATGGCATTGGGGCGTGAATCCAAGTAGTTTGGCAACGTCAGTCCAAAAAACATTGCGAATCCCAGAATGAAAAGATTGCGGGATGAGTTCATGTCAACAAACTGCAGGTTGGAAAGGCCAACAGCTGTGATCATTCCTGCAAATGTGCAAACAGAGAAAATGCAGCCTTGTTACAGACACAAAGGGTCTGTGTGCATTCGGGACAAGGCAGAGGTGGCCACCTGCTGAGTCATTGGGACTGAGAGGCAAAAAATTAGGTACCACTAAAGCCATCTCTATTCTGAAAGTTGCACCAGTTTAACTAAGGGTATGTCTAATGGTAGAGAGACTATACTGGCATAGTTACATCGCTGTAACTATGCTGGCATTAACCCATCGCGTAGACACAGCCTACATTGACAGAAGGGGTTGCTTCTGTCGACATAGCTGCGTCTACACGGGGGTTAGGCTGACACAGCTATGTCAATAAAGGGTGTGATTTTTTTCAGACCTCTGACTGTGCTATGTTGACTTAACTTTGAAGTGTTGATCAAGCCTGAAAGAGGAATCTGAATCTGATAAAATCAGACTGGTGCAAACACCTGTGTGGACGCTCTTAATTTGATTTAAATCTGGTTTATATCAATTTAGCTTAAATTGATTCATTACCAAGTTAAGCTAAATCAATATAAACCAGCCTGAAATTGAATTAACTGCGGTCACACTGTATTCTGCACCAGTTTAATTTAATCACTTCTGAAACCAATTTAAAGTTACACTGATTTGACTTTAAATATGGACAAGGCCTAAGGCTGCTATAATGCATTGGCAGCCCCACCACTTAGGGTCAAGAGACAAAAGTATAGCTCGCACTAATGATAGTCTCTTAGGTTTGGAGGAAAACTTGAACCCTAGAATACAGGCAGTAGCAGTGCATCGCACTGCTACCCTCCCTATCCCCAGTGATGCTATGGAGCTGCAGTTCTTTTGCATCTTTGAGATTGTTCCCTGTAACTGATTCTGAAAGGAAAGCAAGCAGTTTAAGTGGAGAGCTTCAAAGCCAACGTTGATGGGCACTGGGCAGCCAACTCTCTTAGGCAGCGTTGCAAATCTCAGCCTGGCGCAAGCTCTGTAAGTCACCTTCAGGCAAATCAAATTTAAATGAATATATTAGGAAACAATTGGTAGGAAAGAGCACGGCAATTTAATGTTAATTTTGCCTTGACACCCTGCTGATTACATTTATAAACATATCTTTATAGGTACGTTACCGAATAATGTACAGAACATCCCTCCGAGGATAGGGTCAGGGAGTGAGGCAAACAGAGCTGTGAACTTGCCGATGGTTCCCAAAACAAGCATGATCCCAGCTCCATATTGCACCACTCTTCTGCTTCCCACCTGTAGAGGAAAACAGCAGCAAGGTGAAGCAAATTGGCTAGAGTCATTCCAGGCTTAATAATACATAGCTATTATACAGCTCTGTTCATCCAGAGATCTCAAAGCACTTCCCAAAGGAGGTAAGTATTGTTATGGTGGGAGACACCAGATGCCTCTGGGTAGGGTACATCTACACAGTTTCAGAGCCCAAGCTCCAGACTGAGTGGGAATGTCTACATGGCTGTTTTTAGCACTGTAGTGGGAGCACTGCAAGCCTGAGACTATAGACCCAGGCTCTGAGACTCGCACCTGCGGGGCTTTTTGCTGTGTAGACATACCCAGAGTTTTACCAGTTCATTTTCTTAGCACTCAAACAAGGGCACAGTCTGTGAAGACCTGCTGTGTTGTTGCTAGGTTTGTGATACAGTTCCTTTTGCAAGCAGGACAGGAGTTGCTCGTTGCCTTACTCTCTCTAACATATGGGAATTTTTGCAGCAGCGGGGTTGCTCTCTGAGAGCCCTGAACGTGGTTTTTCTGGGTGCTGTCTGTGACTTCCTCTGCTCAAGGACTGAGTGACACAGTCTAAACAAATACACGGCACTGACAATATACCCAGACTCTGGCACTGATTTCTGGGTGACAGTGGGATGGGGAAACTGAGATACAGTGAGATTTGTGCAAGCTCATGCAGTGGCTGAGACCCCAGGCCTCCTCACTCCCTGCTCAGTGCACCAAGCTGCATCAGACTTTAGAAATTAAAGAGGGGAGGGATGTTCTGTTTCATGGGGAGAAACTGGTGAGCCAGAGCTTTCGCTATGGGCTAAGCACTATTAGTTAGTCTCAGTGGTGCATGCTCTACCCTGCACTGGGTAAGAAACACCAGCAAGTTTGAGCCCTTCTACAGCATCTTCCCTCCAATCTTAGCCCTGCCACGCTCCTGGGCAAGGCACTTTGGGTACATCTACACTGTAATTCAAACCTCACAGCTGGCCCGGGCCAGCTGACTCGTGCTCGCTGCCGTGGGGCTGTTTCATTGCACTGTTGATTTTTGGCCTTGGGCTGCAGTCCAAGCTCTGGGATCCCCCCCGCCACACACACACACACACACACCTCGCAGTGGGGTTGTGAGGTTAAATGCAGAGAGTGGGAGGCACTCAGACACAAGAGGGGGCAGAGAAGCACCATAGATAGCTAGAATTACTGACAGGTGGCCAGGGACAGAAAGCAAACTCTGATTGCAAGGCAAGAGGAACCAGGCAGGTCCAAGGACTCAGGGTCCGAAGAGGCTGCCCTCTCCTTGCCACAGCAGTGTCGTAGAGGGGCTATTGCAGACACGCCTTATATAAACACAGTGACCAGGAAGGGCCTCAGGGCCAGCATCAGAAACTAGATAGACCCTGTACTGACCTGGGACTCAGGCCCAGATGGAGTGTGAATTCGAGAACGGAGGTTTGGCTGCTGAGAACGCTCTGCCACCTGCCCCAGACCCAGCAAATTGCGGCTACCAACGTTCAGCTGAGCGGAGCTGCCAGGCCAGTGCACCATGAGCGAGAATAGGCCAGAGTTTCTGCTCCGTCGGCTCTACACTGGGCGCACAAAAGGGCATTAAGCCACCACAGCATCTTCCTAATCCAGTGTTATGCTGGGCTCTGGGTGCAATTTAGAGCAGCCCTAGTACTTCTCTAAGTTGTGTCAGCTTCCATGTGCTGTTATGCCTCTTCCTGATCTCCTGCTTCCCCAGCCCATCACCTACACCAGGGGCGTGGAGAGAGCTATTATGCCCAGCTCTGTGCTGGCTGTAGAACCCCCACCAGCCTCAAGAGCAGAGTATTGCACGGGCCGTTTAAGCCCTCTTTATGGCTTAGGAATAGCATCATAGAGGGGCTACTTCCTAAGGAAAAAACCTGGGCCGTGGTGTTTATGGATCCATGAAGGGTTTTATAGCCTGAACCCTGCACCCTCTGTGGCACCCACAAAATAACCAGGATGCCAGTGGAAGATGCTGATATTCTCTGCAGCCCAGGTGAGAGGCAGGGAGCTGTGCTGGGCACCAGCTGATCTGTCCAGGTGCCGAGAGCTTTGCAGCGATCCCTCCTGACTCAGCACAGAGGGAAGGTGTTCAGAGAAGCTCACTGGCTGGTACCTTTGTGATGCCCAAGACGCCGATGTTGGGGCTCGAGGATGTGGAGCCGTTGCCCGTTCCCAGCAGCCCAGCTATGATACAGGAGATCCCCTCTGTAAAAATGCCTCTGTAAACAGACAAGCCAATCCAAGAGATTTCATAAGAACATAAGAATGGCCATACTGGGTCAGACCAAAGATCCATCTAACCGAGTATCCTGTCTTCCGACAGTGGCCACTGCCAGGTGCCCCAGAGGGAATGAACAGAACAGGTATCATCAAGTGATCCATCCCCTGTCGCCCACTCCCAGCTTCTGGCAAACAGAGACTAGGGATACCATCCCTGCCCATCCTGGCTAATAGCCACTGATGGACCTATCCTCCATGAATTTATCTAGTTCTTTTTTGAACCCTGTTATAGTCTTGGCCTTCACAACATCCTCTGGCAGACAGTTCCACAGGTTGACTGCGTTGTGTGAAGAAATACTTCCTTTTGTGTGTTTTAAATCTGCTGCCTATTAATTTCATTTGGTGAAATTTCATTTCCCATCACATCGGCAGCTCTGAGGGCAGTATTTGGAGAGGCAGGGATGCATGAGGGCACTTAGGGGCAGATTGCATGTGGCAGACACAGCCTCCACTGGAGGGGGTGCAGACGGGGCAGGGCTGTGGTGGGAGAATTTCCAGCCAGCGGCTTCTGCTCCCATGTGATGGGAAAGGGTGCGGCACACATAGCCTGCCACGAGTGGCTAGCAATTCCCCTGCGATGGGGAATAGCACCATGGATGGGGCATGCCCCAGCCTCGTTGTAACCGTCCCTGGCACAAAGCATGGGCGAGGTTCACACTCACGCACGGGACACTTGCACAGCATGTTGCATGTTCTAAATGCTCGACAAACATGGGAGGTGGGGAGCATTGTCCCAGTTACCACCTGGGGAGGCCGAGCTCAGCCAGGTTACGGGTGCCAAACAGAAGCCTGTTATGGTTGTCAAATTTGGGTGCCAAAGGGTAGCACCAACAGCCATGTTTTGGCACCTACATTTCCAAGGTGCTGAAACTGCAGCTCCAGCTGACCTCATGGGAGCTTCAGGTGCATAGCCCCTTAGAAAGTCAGGCCAAAGTTACTGAGGGGGCCAAACACTGGGCATTTGAAAACTTGGCTAGCCTAGAACTCAGGTGTCCTGGCTCCCACCCACTGCTGCCCAGTAGGAATCGTCCTGCTGTGGTGCAAATCCCAGGTCTCCCACACAAACCCATGTGTGATTTAGAGAGATGGGTGAGCTGCTTGTACCGTACCTATTGATAGCGTGGATGGGTGGCGCTGGAGCCCCTGCCAGCCTGGCGCAGGCATAGTAATCCCCGATGGACTCGATAATGCCAGCCAGGGTAGCGCTGAACATCCCTAACACAGCTGCTGCCGTCACGGTGGGCAAGCCCCACTGACCTGCATCGGGGAAAGCAGAGCAAGGGATGAGCTAGCCCGGGCATCCCAAGCCCTGAACATGGCCATGCCCGCTCAGGAGCCGCACTAGCTCAATAGCATGGGTTCCGGACCACGCCCTGCCCAGCTCAGAGGACCAGACAGGGTGTGCTGGCAAAGGCTGCCCAGCCCATTATCCTTCTGACAAAGCCCACCATGGACTTGTGCTTGGCACAGGTGACCCGGGCAGCCCAAACCCAGCTGTGGGGCAGTGGGGGTGGGAAAAGCTGCAAGCCCCTAGAGCCCTCCCCAAACACACACACTCTGGAGATAAGCTTCTGCTGCTGCAGGTTGCTACTTGAGAACCGCCCAGCCTTCTTCTCTGCTACGGTGGTGTTGCCAGCCACGGGGGCAGTGCCTGTGCAGGAGGATGCCAGCTTAGGCCACACCCAGCCAGCCTTAGCGTCTCTCCTCTGTTCCTGGGCCACTCACTCAGCTGTGGGCACTACCAATGGCCTCCTCTCCCTGTGAATCAGTACGGACCCCAGTGGCTCAGCATGGTGCTGTGCACCAGGGGAGGTGATAGAGGGTGAGCTTTTCCTGACAGCAGCTTCTGCTGAGTATCTGATTAGGGGAAAGGGTAATTTCACTCCCCCAGTCTGAGCTCCAGCATGGGGAGCAGAGCGAGGGGGGAAAATCCTGAGGATCAGTGGAAGATACTGAGCAGGGGCAAGGTGCCCCAGCTCCTTGCCTTGCCTGGGGAAGTGTGCAAAAGTGTCCTGCAAGCTGGGCTGGTATGTGCACCAATGGTAGGCAAACCCGACTTGTGCACTGCACGGAAACGTGCATACACTTCTGCACACACTTTCCCTGATCCCTCGTGATTGGGCAGAGCCAGTCACGAGAGAATCTCACGTTCACTCACAAGGATATGGTAGGCGGAACCAGGGTGCAGTTGACATGATTTTCCCCCTGGCGTCTGTCCTGGCCTTGTAGCCATATGCCTCAGCATCGCGTGGGAAAACGTCCGTCAGTGTTAAAATATAGCACAACAGCCACACCATCATGATGGCCAGGATGATCTGGGGATGAAAAACAGAGGCCCATGTAACATAATTGTCCAGGCGCACGGAGCAGCAACACCCCGGAAGCCAGATGGGAGAACTGCTCCAAATACAGCAAGAATTGCCCACCATGGAATCAAAACCCGCAACCTGTGCCAACAACTCCAGGACCTCTATGGTTTCACAGAGATCCCTGTGCTATGGGACTGCTGACACCAGCACGGCAACAGCAGGGCTTGAAATTAGCACATCCAACCCCACAATTCAGCCCCCGGTGAAGAAGCTCTCTCAGCCCCTGGCTGTAGCAGGACCCTGCTACACAGTGGAATAGTACCCAGTCCATACTCTAGAGGGCACGGTAACATCTGATGAAGTGAGCTGTGGCTCACGAAAGCTCATGCTCAAATAAATTGGTTAGTCTCTAAGGTGCCACAAGTACTCCTTTTCTTTTTGCGAATACAGACTAACACGGCTGTTCCTCTGAAATCTGACTCCAGCACCCACACCCATCCAAGACAGTATTTTGAGGTCTGGAAAATTTCAGTTAACTCCAGTCTTTCCCCTGTTTATTTCACATTTGCAAGTATTTCGCTTTCCTGGGTTATGGCCAGCACGGTTAGTGCGAAAATGCCACAGCCACGGCCACGGTTTCTGGCTTTCCAGCCCAGCTGTAAGTGCTAGTGATTGTTAGCCCGACACCACAGCCCCAGCAGCATTAGATCGTTCATAGACTTTCTGTCACAGGCCTGAGACCCCCTCGTATGTATCTGACCCAGACCATTGAGCTGTGGGAGGTTTCACCTGTCACTGATAATTAGCAGAGGACGGGACTGTCCATACCGGGAACATTTTGAAGATCTGTAGCCTGAACACAATACAGCCTTTCCCCCATTTGTACCCAGGCAGCCGAAAGGTCGCATTTCGCAGGTACTGGGCAAATAAAACAATCAGAAAAATGGATCTATTGAAAAGAGAAAAAGAGTCAGTAGGACATCCCTAGGAAATGCAGAAGGGGAACTCCCTGAGGGCCGAATTGCACCATTGTCCAGAGATAGTACGCTCTCTGGGCAAGGGCCCATCTTTTTGTTCTGCATTTATAAAGCACCTAATGCAACGGGATCGTGGTCCATGACTGGCGCTCCTGGGCACTACCATAAATAATATTAACAATAGTGTATTTGAACCCAAATGCTTTTAAACAGTTACGGGCCAGTCCATGCAAGCCAGTGTCCATTAGGCTATGCAGAAATGGGAAGGAGAACAGATCTGGAGTATGAGAAGAATATACAATCCATGCTGGTGTGGCAAACATGCCTGTGGGTGCCAGTGGCCAATTTCCTCATTCATCATTTTGTGTCTGCTAAGTTCAGAGTTGCTGTTGTTTTCTGAGAACGTGTCACAAGTAAATGGTGAAAGATAATCCCGATGAGGTGTTTGCCTTACATATGTTTAGTTGACTGGAGTAAGCTAATCCACTGTTCACTAGCTGGGCTACAACTGCAGGATGTATTGGGTGCTGAGTGGAGCTGCTCAGGAATTTTCTGTCAAAATGTTTTTTTCCTGCAGTGGCTGCAAAATCAAGATTTTTCCAAGGGAAAATTTCAATTTTACGGAATTTTTTTGGTTTTCTACTTGGAAAATCAAATAAAAATGTTTTGCTTTGGGTCAGGTCCAGCTGAATCAAAACATTTTGCTTTGTCAAACTGAATCAAATGTTTTGTTCTGGGACAGTTTGACGTTAACCTGTGTTTGTCTGAGTTGTGGTAGGGCCTCAAGGGAGTTGTAATTTGGGTGCCTTGTGCCCCCATTTTCTTCTATTGGCCAGACTCCCTGACTGGACTGCATCTCCCATAATGCATCACAGTTTACCTTCATGCTGAACTGCCGCAGTGCATCTTGAGAGTCCCATGCCCCTGTTGCATTATGGGAGGTGTAGTCTGGCTAGGGACCCTGGCCCATAGAGGTGAATGGAGGCATGAGGCATCTGAAGTACAACTCCCATGAGGTACTGGTACAGCTCAGGCACACACAGCTTAATGTAGAACTGAGCTGAAATATTTTGACATTTCCAAATAGAAATTTTTCCAAACTTTTTGCTCCACAACGAAAATTCAATTTTTCAGAACATTCTGCTCTGCCAAAAATTTTGATATTTCAATGTTTCATCCTAATTTGGGACAAAAGCACAGGTTGAACTTTCATGGTATTTTCAGTCAGCTCTGATATGGTGGTGGTTGGTGCCCTATATGCTTCTAGGATAGACAGACACACAGACAGATCAGTTATCAGACAGATTTTAAACCTTGCATCCTATTGAAAACTCAGCAAAGCAATGACTAATGTCATCTATTCTTCCCCTCTCAACCTTTGCCCCCCTTTTTGGCTTGAATACTCATTATCAAGTGATCTTGATTATGAAAAACCAATTGCTGTAAGTTACATGGAGCAGCACTGCACGTTTTCCATATGAAATGTGCAAATGTAGGCAAAACTCCCATTGGCTTCAATAAGAGCAGGATCGGATCTATAGGGCAAACCCCACTGCAATCAGCAAATGTGTCTGAGGATGGAATTTAATCCTGAGTTGGGGGTAACTTGGAGCTTAAGGGCCAGATTTTTCCTCCAGATATGCATACCCATGAGGGTGTGACACTAAGTACTAGCAGCATGTCACTCTCAGAGCCCTGTGGCTGGTCTCTGTATGATAAGCGAGGCGCGTACAGTGCTGCAATGCCCCAGTGAGATCCTGCACGATCCCCCGCAGCTTGGAAGACTGACAGTCCTATCAGGGAGACAGTGGGAGTGACGGTGAGAGGTCCAATGTAGCTGAGCAGCGCTCCTGGCAGCCCCACAAGCCCGATCACCACTTCCACCAGGCTGGACACGATGATCGCCCCTTGGATCTATGGCGCAAAAGGGGGGAAAAAGCATGTGAGGTGTGGAGATGTGGTCAGCTAAGAGCTGTCACATGCTACCAGGTTCCTCCGCCTGTGCAGGTGCCAGAGATAGGGGAGAGCCTGGAGGCCGAGTGGCATTGGCATGGCTCTGACCTTGCGTGCTGAGCCCAGCCCCCCATCGCTGGGGCTGTGGAAGCAGCACATTCTGCCCCACATGGGCAGGGAGCGTCGTGGCCATCAGCTACAAGGGTTTAGCTGTTGTGCTGGGGAAGGCTTCATCATGGAGGAAGGGGAAGGATTAAAGCATGGAAGAACCTTGGACTGGGATGGTAATGGGAATATCCATCCATCCAGTCACTATATATATCCATCCATCCATCCATCCATCCGTCCAGCCCATGCTCTTCACAAGTTAGAGAAGGTTGGGTTGAACAGCATAAGGGGACACACCAGTATCATGCAAGAGCAATTCTAAATGGCTGCATCCTGGTTCAAAGAAGAGCAAATGACTAAAACCACATAAAATGTGTCTTGGGTAAAATGAAGCTGACTAGTGAATAAGCCCGGGAGCCACAGTCAGTCCAGTCGGATGATGTCTGGGAGGCCACAGGCCAGGCCTCTCCTGTTTGCATGCAGGGCGAGAGCCAGAACTTTTGTAGCTGCTGTAAAGTAAGTCCTCTTGTTTGGTTGAAGATTAAGCCACTGGAGAATAACTGCACTTTACACGTTATAAAACCCAGCAACTCTGAAACTCTCCACCATGGTGCAGGCAGCCCAGCGATGATCTGCATTTTCTGGGTCTTAGCCTACTTCCCAGCAGGAAATGCTATCTGGTGACCACCTTCCGTTGGACTCAGGAATTGCCACAATGGATCAGACCAGGGCTCTATCTAATCCAGGATCCTGCCTCCAGCTGGGGCCAGCACCAGCTTCTCCATCGGAAGCTGCAGGGAGCCCTGCAGTGGGCTGTTAGGGGCTAACTAGCCCCAAGGGAATGATTCCTCCTAGCTCTCAATAGTTAGAGGCTGGCTTATGCTCTAGAGCCTGGAAGATTCTGTCCCATTCCAAACTGGGTTTTTTGCACATTGGAGCTTCCCGGGCTGAGGGAGGATGGTGTCATTTAGATATCTCTCCATCTATCAGCATAGACCTTGCTAATAACAATACTTGGCTCTTACATAGCCCTTTCCAGCAGCAGATCTTAAAGCACCACACTATCTTAAAGGTATTTATCGTCCCACACCCCGTGTGGCAGGGCAGCGCTAGCCCCATTGCACAGCTGAGGAACGGAGGCAGACAGACTAAGTGACTTGCCCAGTGTCACACAGGAAGTACAGGGCAGAGCAGGGAATTCTGCACAGGTCTCCCACATCCTATCCCAGTGTCCTAACTAATAGGCAATGCTTCCTCTCCATTGTTCTGCACTGAGACAGACACCAGCACCATTCACAGCTATGGTGCTATTGGCATGTCTGAGCACTGACCTGAGATGTGTTTGAAGGTATTTCCCATTGACCAGCCAAGCGCCCCCAGAGTCACCTGGAGGGCCCTCCTGCTTGTGCGCCTTGGCTGGACATGACTGCAGAAGGAGGGGGAAATTGCTGTGGTTTACCAGGGACAGAAGTGGCACCTACACTTTGTACTGGCTGCCTGCACAGGGGTGAATCTCACCCGGGAGCGGAGGCTGCAGTGCTGCTGAACAATCCACGCTCACGCTACCCCACCGACAAGGCCATAAACACCAAGGTGCATGGCCATAACGCGTCCGAGACGTAAGCAAGCTGGGTATTTGTCTGGGGGGGAGTCTTCTTTCCCGTGTCCTGGTGAGACTCATCCCCAGGGCCCCTGATCCACGTACGCCCCTGGCCATGTAGTCACAGAGCACAGCTTACTTCTCTCATCCTCGGGTGCCACACGTGAGATGTGTTCAGCGGTAACGTCCAATTGCCGTAGATCTCCTCTAAGACGCAAAACGAGGCTGTTAGACGCGCGGGGATAACAGCCCTCCAGGCCCTGCCGCCCAGGGCATGATTCACTGCTGCCCTAGCCCTGTTTACACTGGTGCGTCTCCCTTGGAATCTAGAGACCCTGTTGTGCTGGCACCATGTACCCACGGAGCGAGGACCGATCCCTGCCCCAAAGAGCCGACTGGCAAAGGGTACGTCTCCTCTGCAGGTGAAGGTGGGATTGTAACACTGGTAGCAGAACTGGGCGAGCTTTAATCTACCCAGCATGGGCAACAATAGCACTGGAGACGCAGCAGCATGGACCAGCAGCCCAGGTAGGTACCCAGGATCTCTGGTGGGCTGGTCCTGGGGTGGCTTGCCTGTGCCGAAGCCTGCACCACCATGATCAACATTACCCATGCCTGCTGGATTCAGGCTAACCCTAGCATGCCTAATGGTGCTGCAATCACATCTTCATTTGCTGTGTAGACGTGCCCTCAATAGACCAGTGTGGGAGGGGAAACAGAGGCAGAGAGAGAGAGAGAGGAAGGGACTGGCTCCAAGTCACCCAGCAGGGAGCTGGGAACAGAGCCGTGGCCTTCTGGGCCAGTGTCCTACCCATTAGACTATACTACCTCTTGATAGCTGTGCTTCAGCCATGACACTCGGCAGGGTGGGACATGACTCGGTGCTGGCCCTGAGCGTTCGCTCTTTCGGGTGTTTGGCTGGCTGTTCCTGCTCACAGGACTACATGGGGTATGGCAGGAATTTTCTCCCAGCTCAGATTGGCAGTGACCTTGGGGGGTTCACCTTCCTCTGTGGCGTGGGGGGCAGGTCGCTTGCCAAGATCCTCTGGGTATTTCTCACTTAATCAGTTCCCTGCCACTGCAGGGGCCTCGGGCACTGGTGCATCTCAGCCCCCCCTAGTTCGTGCTCATTCTAGTGCTGTCTCCTGTGGGCGTGGTCCCCTTTTGGTTGTTGGGATTAGTGTGCAGGTCCTGGGTCGGGTTGTTGGCCTGATATGCAGGAGGTCAGGCTAGTGGTGGCCCCTTCAGGCTAGTGGAGGTCTGGTGGCCTCTTCTGGCCTTGAGCCCTGTTGTATCCTTACTTGTAAGGGCGGTACTTGGTGGGGCCGTTAAGTGACTCAAGGTCTTTACCGCATGACATGGTTGTAAACGAAGCTTCAGTTACCTTCTGGGGGACATTTCCATTTCTCCAGGGCCAGGATGGACTTTGCAGGAACCAGAAAGGCGAGTGCGCTTGCTTGAAACAGGGGGAGTCTGCATGAGCAAGAAGGAAAAGCCTCATTTGCAATCACCTACTGCTCTGCCTCACCTTCAAAGCTTCCCGTGCAATGGTTCAACAGGGAGCAACAGCCAGAAGAAAGCGTGGAGAACAATTGCCATAGAGTGCAACCTACCGGATCCCCAGCGTGGTCTGGATTAGTGTGGTGATCCCGACGCAGGTGAAGATGGTGCCGATGAGCTGGCTGACTGTGTATTGGTCCTTTCCCACACACAGGGACTCTGCCAGGAGGAACGGGACAGCGATCGTCCCGCTGAAACAGGTCAGGTAGTGCTGGAGCGGGGAAGGGAAAGGAGTCCTTGGTTAAGGCTGTCGGGAGGATCTGATAACCCATCTCCATTCCCAGGGAGAATGAAGTTCGCCTCTGCTCCAGGCTGTGGTACACTTAAGTCCCAATGTGCTATGTGTGACTTGTGCTGGACTTCTGAATGTCAGGGGTTTGCTCTTGCCACTGCTAATGAGACTTAAACTCAGAGTCACGTATAAGGGCATGTGGTATAGGGAAAACTATATTAAAATTGTACAGCGATCACTTTAAATGTTCAGCACACTGCTCCCATCCCAAGCTAGGGCAGCTCCCCCTGATCGCAGCCACCCTGCTCCGCTCGCTCCCCGCGCCCACCCCACCCTCACCTGCTCCTGCTTGCGGTCTAGAGAGCTCTGTAGGGAAGTGTGTGAGCCACTGTCAGTTTGCACCAGACAATGAGTAATACTTGTTTTAGGGAGCAGCCTGCTTTTTCTCTCTCTGGTTTTGTTTCTTTGTGTTGGTAAGGGACTGGATTTTAAGACATAAAGTGGTGTTACATTGCACCCTTCCAGAAAGATTAAAAACCACAGAATATCCTAACTTCTCTGTGTGTATGTCATGACCATAACAGCACTGGGAGCAAGAGAGTGGGGCAGAGCCCTCTGCTCTCTCCTTCCTTACCTGAAAGCCAAGCAGGATGCAGAGGTACCATGGGGGCACATCTTCAATTTTATAGATCATGTCGAATTCTTTCTGCTCCCTCCCTGTGTCTGTGGCTTGGCGCTGGAAATGGAAGAAGGACGATTTCAGCACCAGCAGGGGCAGAAAGCAGAGGCTGGCAGCTAGGCTGAGAAGCTTGACAGAAATCAAATGTGAGTAGGTTTCCTTGCTCCCCCATGACTTGGTCTCTGAAGCGATCGCCCCAGTGCAGGGAGACTTGAGACACATCTGCTATGCCCCGGCTGCCTTGGAGTAACATACTCACCCACTCTGTCCTGAGAGCCCTCGGGCCTGCTGAAGGGACACATTGCAGCTGGAGCCCATAGGCGAGCACCTGGCTGGCTCCTCATAGGGAGCCCACACTGGAGCAATAGTGCTGCCCCCAGTGCAGTGTGTCCCCCACTCCATGCCCACAGCAGGGGAGGAAGGGAACTTAGTACCACCCTGCCCACTTGTGCACAGCCCCCCTGGGGCCGGCTCCAAACAGGCCCCCGAGGTTCTGGGTGTCACCACTCAGACCCAGAGCTGGTGTCTCCGGTTCCCTGAAGCCTCTGGTTCCACTGCGCTGCTGTTTCCATTAGCCACACGTTCCTAGGGCCAGTGCTCAGAGCAGGCCGGGATTACCCAGCATGCATTGGGTGCACTTGCACAGGGCCCCGTCTCAAGGGAGCCTCCACCCACAGGAAACAACCCCAATCCAAGCTGGAGTGGTGCTGTAACCCCGTGCGCCAGGTCACAGCACCATGCTCTCCAATCATGACAGGGGAGCTGCCGGGTCAAACCTGAGCAGCGCAGGGCTGGGTGAGGGTGGCTGCGATCAGGGGGAGCTGCCCTAGCTTGGGATGGGAGCAGGGTGCTGAGATGGGGGGAAGAGGGTGCTGGTGGCCAGGAAGGTCCCTGGGGCAGTGGGTGAGGGGCTGGGGGCAAGTGGGCGGATGTTGGGTGAGCAGGATGTAGGTCAGGGCTGCTGGGATGTGTGGGGGCTGCCAGGATAAGTGGGCACAGGCAGCTGGAGCAGAGTTCTAGTTTAAGGAAAGTGGTGGGCCCCCTGCCAATTTCCAGAGTGCACAGGGCCCCAAAACTCGGTCAGCTGGGCCTGGCTCTGACCCTGTGTTACCCCATGTGCTACCTGGGAGTTCTACAGCTGTTGGCCCTTTGCCTGCTGTTTCCAAAAGCTCTAGGGTTTCCTGGGCAAAGTGCATGCTTGGCGTCTGAATTTCACATGCAACGGGCAAAGGCCTCTCCGGGGGTGTCTCCTCTCCCGAGGAATGCTGTGCATGAGGATGTGGTACAGAATGGTGCAATCCACAGGGAAGAACTGCTCTCCTCTTATCCCAACAGCTCATTGGAAAGTGATCAGGAACAGCCAGCATGGATTCACCAAGGGAAGGTCATGCCTGACTAATCTAATCGCCTTCTATGATGAGATTACTGGTTCTGTGGATGAAGGGAAAGCAGTGGATGTATTGTTTCTTGACTTTAGCAAAGCTTTTGACACGGTCTCCCACAGTATTCTTGTCAGCAAGTTAAGGAAGTATGGGCTGGATGAATGCACTACAAGGTGGGTAGAAAGCTGGCTAGATTGTCGGGCTCAACGGGTAGTGATCAATGGCTCCATGTCTAGTTGGCAGCCGGTATCAAGTGGTGTGCCCCAAGGGTCGGTCCTGGGGCCGGTTTTGTTCAATATCTTCATAAATGATCTGGAGGATGGTGTGGATTGCACTCTCAGCAAATTTGCGGATGATACTAAACTGGGAGGAGTGGTAGATACGCTGGAGGGGAGGGATAGGATACAGAAGGACCTAGACAAATTGGAGGATTGGGCCAAAAGAAATCTGATGAGGTTCAATAAGGATAAGTGCAGGGTCCTGCACTTAGGACGGAAGAACCCAATGCACAGCTACAGACTAGGGACCGAATGTCTAGGCAGCAGTTCTGCGGAAAAGGACCTAGGGGTGACAGTGGACGAGAAGCTGGATATGAGTCAGCAGTGTGCCCTTGTTGCCAAGAAGGCCAATGGCATTTTGGGATGTATAAGTAGGGGCATAGCGAGCAGATCGAGGGACGTGATCGTTCCCCTCTATTCGACATTGGTGAGGCCTCATCTGGAGTACTGTGTCCAGTTTTGGGCCCCACACTTCAAGAAGGATGTGGATAAATTGGAGAGAGTCCAGCGAAGGGCAACAAAAATGATTAGGGGTCTGGAACATATGAGTTATGAGGAGAGGCTGAGGGAGCTGGGATTGTTTAGCCTGCAGAAGAGAAGAATGAGGGGGGATTTGATAGCTGTTTTCAACTACCTGAAAGGGGGTTCCAAAGAGGATGGCTCTAGACTGTTCTCAATGGTATCAGATGACAGAACGAGGAGTAATGGTCTCAAGTTACAGTGGGGGAGGTTTAGATTGGATATTAGGAAAAACTTTTTCACTAAGAGGGTGGTGAAACACTGGAATGCGTTACCTAGGGAGGTGGTAGAATCTCCTTCCTTAGAGGTTTTTAAGGTCAGGCTTGACAAAGCCCTGGCTGGGATGATTTAACTGGGAATTGGTCCTGCTTTGAGCAGGGGGTTGGACTAGATGACCTTCTGGGGTCCCTTCCAACCCTTATATTCTATGATTCTATGATTCTATGATTGGTAAGGGCCTTGCTGCTTGAGGTTTTCTACTTAAGAAGGGAGCTGCCGCTATCCCCAAACCCCTGCAGCATTCCCTTTTGCTAGTGAGGTCCCGCAGGGATCTGTTCTCAGCCCAACACTATTCACTATCCTTCTCAGAGCTCTGGAAGAAGAAAATTATTCTAGTAAGATGGGCAACGGACACACAAATTGGTGGCAAGATGGACAGGTCACTTATACATCACTTGGTAAGCTGGGCTCATTTGACCAACATGCCTTTTGATACAGCCAAATGCAAGGGACAAAGAACGTGGGTCATGCTTAGGAGGAGGGACAGGATCCTGGAAAGCAGTGATGCTGCAGAGGACTTTGGGGGCAACAGAACTGGAGCTCCCAGTGCGATTCTGTAGCTAAAAGGGTGAACGTGATGCTTGGATGTGTGAGCAGGGCCATATCGAGTAGGAATAAGGAGGTGCTATTACCTCTGCACATGGCCTGGATACTGGGTACAGTTCTGCTGGCCACATGTCAAACAAGATGTGGAGAAATTGGAAAGGGTGCGGAACAGAGCTACAAGAATATGTGGCATCTGCCAAGCCTGCCTTATAGCGAGAGACTAAAGAAGCTCAGTCTATTTAGTTTGTCCAAGAAAAGAATAAGAGGTAAATTGATCATGGTCTATAAGTACCTGCATGGGAAGAGATTTCTGACAGCAGAGGGCAGAACAAGGCATAACAAGATCTAGTGGTTGGAAGCTGACACTAGACAAATGCAGACTAGCAACAAGGTGCCAATTTTTCACAGTGAGGGTAATTAACCATTGGCACACTTGATCTAGAGATGTGGTGGATTCTGAATCACTTGATGTCCGTCAGTCAAGACTGGATTTCTTTCTAACTGAGATGCTACAGCTCAGCCAGGAATGATGATCTAGATGTGAGCCTCACTGCCTGGGTTCTCCGGCCTGGGTCATACAGGAGGTCAGACTAGCTGATCAGAATGGTCCCCTCAGGCCTTGGAATCTGTGAATGTACTCCTCTGAAAGCCCAGAAACAGTTGCCAAGACCCAGAAAAAAGATCGTCTGCTACCACCAAGCCTCTGGCTTCACTGCCCAGACCCAGTGCTTTATCCCCAGTCCTCCGGCTAGTGTTACCAGCCCCAGTGATTTTAGACTCTTGCAATTACAGCTGGTCAAAATACCTGTCCGTCCCTCCAAAACATTTCAAATGAAAAATTTCCCTTTGAACTCTTTTGTTCAGTTTTCATAGGAAAATTTCTGAGGGAAAATCAAGTGACTGCTTGGCGTGTCGATTCAGTTTTCAAAAAGCGAAGTTTCTTTAGACGTGAAAGGGTCGTTGTTGTTCCCCTCCTTCCCCTCCCTCCCCCCCCGCCCCGTTTTGCCACTGAGTGAAATAGAACACCGCTCACGGGGGTTATTTCCTCCCCTCCCTTTTTTCACTACATCCCTTTTCAAAACATCCCCGGCTTTGGGAACGTCACTGACCAACAAAAAGAAAAAAAAAAAGACCTGCTCTAACTCTGCCAAACTCCGCAATGGCCCCAATGTTTGTGTTTCAGAGGGGAAGGGATGACTCTCCAGGGAGCTTGGAAAATACCCAGCGAGTCAGTGGGCTACAGGAGGGCTGCTGCAGACACCAATGGCTGCAGAGGAGAAGGCTCTTGCACCAAGCCAGTGGTAAGGTGCTGAGACAGGCCAGCTGCTACCTGAGCAAGGGCGGGGGGCAACAGAGAGACAAGGGGATAGGGTGGAACGAGCCCACAATGAGCTTTAAAGACAAGGAATGTCACTTTTTTAGGGGCAGACTATGACATGCTCAATGCGCCCACAGTGCCCCCTTTCTCTCCTGTGGTAGCTACCTGTATCGCAGCAGGCAGCAAGTGTGGGGCCACTGCCCATCCTTGCACCCAGCTGGGTGAAGAAGGGGTGGCAGGAAGGCAGTGGGTGGACCCTCGGTGGCATCCCCACAGCATGCTAGCTGAGCCTGCAGTAATGTGCACCGGGTAAAAGGCTGGCACAGATCGCCTCTTGCATGGAGCCAAAGGGGGCAGTTTGTGATTTCTCAAGTCCCAACCTGGTCCTTGGTCTGCCCCTCAGGCAGCGCAGCCATATGCTGCCCCTCGCTCAGAGCTCAGCTGAGCCCCTCACCTAACAATGGACCCATCCCTCAGCTAAAGCTAGTGGCAAGCTGCAGTTTCAGCTGCCTGGCATCCTAGGCAGAGCGCTGGTCTCACCTTGTCCTCGCTCTCCAGCTCCTTCCCATATGAATTCTCGGTGATGATTTCGGGGGTCCCCTCGTGCCAGGTGGAAGCTGCATTTCCATTCTGCATTTCCCCAAGGGGCATGGAAGACAGAGCAAGTCACTTCTTAGAGAAACTGCTGGTGGAAGCACCATCACCAGGAAAATAAAAGATCGCAGCGCAGAAGAGGCAGTGCGGATTGGAAGGATGCCACTGTCTCCGCCATGCTGGTGGCTGTTGCTAAAAGCAGCTTATCTGTTTTGGGAACCCAGAGAGACGTACCATAGGACTGGAGAGTGAAGAATTGGTCTTTGTTCCCCATGCAAAGAGCAGCCACCACGATCCAGTCTGAGTGGCTTGGATTGATATTACAGGGAGCCAGCAATGTGAGAGGAGAAACAAATGGAGCAGCTCAGTGAGAGCACCATGTGTGTGTCTCCTCTGTGACACGCTGCAGCAGCCCTGCTCACACAACGGCTGCTGGCCTTGAAGCTAAGCAGATTAGGCTTTATCTAAGTTGTTCAGCTTTAACTATATGGATCTAACGTTATCAGAGTGGTATAGTTAAAGTGGTACAATCCCCCAATGTGGAGGCAGCTAAACCAGTATAAATGTGCTTATACCAGTAGAGCAATCCCCATACAGGAAGGGGAATGAGCGATACTGGTATGAAGCACCTTTATACTGGTATAATTGCATCCACTGATACCAGTATGACTATACCAGTGAAAAATCACACTCCCTAACTGTAATAGCTATATCAGTCGGTGTGTAGGCCAGGCGTTAGAAACACAAAGGTACAGTACAGAGAAATCAAATGGCAGTTACATAGCTACATAATATCCCTCCTTAAAATAAGTGAATGGATTTAACAGCATTGTCACCACTTGTGTAGCACATTCAAAGACCTTTACGGAACACTAGTTAAACCTCAGAGCACCCCCAGGAGATAGTAGTGACCTATCACCCCCATTTTACAGATGGGAAATCCAAGGCAGAGAGAGTAAGTGACTTGCTCAAGGTCACCCAGTCCATTGGTGTCTGTGGTGGGATTAGCAGCCAGGAGTTCCTGGGGCTCAGCTCACTCTCCCTTCACTAGTAATGCTGACAGGGTTTGGATCATTGCTATAGAATACACTACTGTTTAATACCCGCCCTGCTCTCCCCTCCCCCGCCCCAGGGAAGCTGGATCTTGAATACATGCTACATTGCATTGTAAAGGAGTCACACCAAATCCTCCACAGTATGGGCCCAATCCTGCAAAGGGCTGAGGCTGCTGTGGGGTGCTCAGTGCACTTCACACCCAGTATCTTCAGTGGCAGCTGCATGCGCTCAGCAGAAAACAGCATCAGTCCCTGTATTACAGTAGCCTGTACAAAATAAAGCCAAGTTCCTTGCAAATTTACCTGACAAAACCCCCAAGATTCCTCAGTTTCTTGGATCCCTTTTCTCTGTCTGTGGTCCTTACTCTCTGGGGCCCGGATTCCGGGCTCTCTTCTCTCCTGGGGCCTGACTGACGGGTCTGCCTGACCTCCAGTCCCAGCCTGATTCTTAGAACCTCACAAGCTTTTAGCTGAGTCCGTGAATGCATAGTGGAGCTGCCAGGGCTCCCTGGGCCATGTCGAAGGGGAGAGCTGCCCAGGGTGAGGCAGAGCCAAGGAGGGGAACCAGCAGCGACAAAAGGACATCACTTGAACCTTATTCATTCTGACTATTAAGTCATTGTTTGATGTCAAGTGCTCCATTCCTGAGTGGCACAGCGGAGTCACCCCCCACTGGGGGCCGAGTCGCTTCCACTTCGCTTCTAAGATAGATGGGTATGTTTAATCAGTCAGTCCAAAGGGAAGCACTTTGTGAAATCTGGCTTCCAAAAATGATCAAATGATAAGTTGCCTTTACCTTCAGACACAAGTCTAAGAAAGAACCTGTGATCGCTGCTCCCCTTCCTTCTAACAACCAACACAGATAGTTTGCCACCCAATTCTCAGATAGTTACCTCAAACACTGGTAAGAAAGGAAATGGATGCATCTGGGGAGAGGGAAGAGGAGGGAGTGAAAATACGGTAATAGCAAACAACATGTTCACCTTGGTTTGAGACAAATCTTCCGAACTGTTCCCCATTCTCCTGCAGAGTGCCACTGGGATTTCCAAGGGGACTTTGTAGAGTGACGCTGTTTATGGTCCTGGGGAGGACTTTAGTCAATACACCCGACATTGTTCACGGAGTCAATCTATAACCCAGCTATTGGCTGCTGATTGTGAAAGAAATGAGAGCTGTGTTTTTAAAGATAATATATTAACTCCATTAATTAGGCTTGGCATCACAGGGGAATGATCCGCCTCTCCTAAATGTATCGGTTTTTCACAGCTCTTTTGTGAAAACCTTAGAGAGCTGAGTTACAGTGTAACTGACTAGTTCATAAATGGACAGAATTACAGATTGCACTAATCAGCTCATCAAGTCTGACAGGAAGCACCATCCTGCTGGGCCAATGTATCTGCGCCCACTCTTGTACTCTCTGATGTGTCAGCCCACTGGAGCGTCCCCAGTCAGAGGCTCTTAGATCTGTGTGCGGTGTACATTCATTGGGCAGGTGGTTCTGGTTTGGAAGCAGATCCCCCCAGATGCGACGTTCCACAATGCAGTGGGTGTTTGGATCTGGGGTTTTGGTTCGGGCCCAGCAGACTTTTCCAAATCCAGTCAGAACACCCCTAAACCTCAGACACGTGCTGAACTCTGGACTGGCCATCTCTGGATCAGAGATTGTTCCATGGCACTTCCTGTTACAGAGGATGGAACCTGGACAGGCAGAAAGAGAAATAACAAAAGGTACCTGGATATTTTAGAGCCTGGAAAATGACTGTGTGCAAGTCTGGATCTTGGTGCCCACAAAACCTTGATGCCTTTAGAGCCAGTGATTGGAGGTGGGGGGATGTCTTTAAAGTAGGCAGGCAAAGCTGATGGGCATTGCTGCTTCTCAGAGCCAAGCAACAGCAGCGGGCAAAGAGCCGCTGCTCCAGGGTGTCTGTGTGGGAGAGGAGAGTGCAGCGATATGTCAGTGTCATGCCATGAGAACAAAGAAGGCACAAATGACCTTAGACAGACCTGTTCTTAGGCTACTGCTCCAGCTGCCTTTCACCTTGAGCCAGTGGGGACTGGTGGAGGTTATTACAGACACTGATTACTTTCCTCTACCCCAGCTGCTAACTTGGCAGGAGGTCCATGCTGATGAGATCAGAGCTGTGTTATTGCTCCAAATGTTTAGAGGCTCGTGTGCTATATTCTGGACAGCGGGATCTTTGTGGGATGGCAGATGTGGGACCTGCAGGCTGCAGTCCTCCTTACTAAGTATGGGAGGCATTTACTGCTCCTTAAATAACAGCACTTTGTGCTTCCCTCCCAGAGTCCTCAGCATGCTAAAGACATCAATGAACTGAGCCTCTTATACCCTCCTTTTATAGACAGGGAAACTGAGGCACGGCAAATAGGGCTTAGCCTTTCACTCCTTTTTCATGAAGGAAGGATTGCGTGGCAGGCCCTTTGCTTACTTGTCCAAGGTGATGCAGAGCTGGGAACACAACCCAGTGATCCCAAGTCCCAGATCACCCGACAACAAGAGGTGGAGCGTTTCCCCATAGGTCTCATAGATCTCAGACACCCTCCCCAACTCAAGAGGCAGCTACACAGAGTTGGCTTCCCCAGGGGGACCCCCAAGGAGCAAACAGAGCAGTGCATTGCACAGGCAAAGCTACAGCCTTGAGTAGTTCCAAACGCACACTCCATTTGGGGTCATCTTGCCTCAGGGCTAGACATTATACTGACAAGCCCAACATGGGCATTTCAGGTCTGCAAACACCACAGCTGTTTTACAAACAGATTCACCATCGGTCAGAGGACAGCCCCAAACTTTGGGGCAAGTCAGCTCTGGACCTGGGTTTTTATCCCAGTGTCTTGGCTTGGACCATGCAGAAATGTGGTAAAAATCAGGCCCCGCCCACAACATCATTGCCTTGGCAAATATTTCTAGTGTAGACCTGGCCTGTATCTCACAACACCACAGCTTCCTCCTTCCCATAAAAGCATCTCTCTCTTGAAAAAGCGTTCCCGACAAAACTTGTGGATGGGTGGGAATCGTTAGCAGAGATTCACCCCAGTTTATGTTCAGCACCAGGCCCTCAGCTTACATGCCTCGACCCACAGAAAAGGGGCACAGCCCATTTCTCAGGGAGCTACTTCTCCCAGAGTTGACACACCCTTAAAGGCATGGCCTGATAATGCTGGTTCTAATCTGTTCCTGGACCTCAGCAGCTGAAAGTCAGCACCGTCATTCTGCTGTTTGGTGGTGCTGATCCAGTTCCCAGTGGCTAACCACTACAGTAGATAGGCCAAGGACTGAATGGGCCATGCAGACCAAACTCTCCTTTCACACTGGTGTCTCCAGGCCAGGGGTGAGTCACAATGGCTGGGAATATGGAAGATGCTTGTGCTGCCACTGTCTATGCTGTGAAGACCCAGAGTAATTGGTCACCAGAGCTGTCCATCCCGGGTCTTTCACCATCTAAAGCTCAAGGGTGGCAGGAGGCTGGTGGGAAGGTGTCCGCAGCCCCAGGCTTGTGCTGCTGTTGGCATAAAGTCTCTGTACCCGTGTCTATCCATGATTCACACCGATTCTCTCTAGTAGCCTATTAGTTACAAAGGTTGCTATGAAATTAAGCATTAACTGCAACATTAGATGCTAAAGAATGTTTGCTGATGGATGGAGGAGCTAATGTTTTCCAAGTCCCAGCTGATGACGGGGCCAGGACTATGGGAGAGGGCAAGGTGTCACAGGGTCCACTCACTACTAGGGCACCTCCTCCTGGCTTCTCTGGGGACCAGCTCCTTCTGGGTCCAACACCCACTGCTGCCGCTCATTCACACACCTTGCCACCTCCCTCCCTCTCTCTGTGTGACTCAGGAGGCTCTCTCTTCATGGCTTGGCCCTCAGGCCAGGTCATTATAGTTCTCCCATTCTGCGGTTGCAAAGTCCTATTGTACAACAGTCCCAGGCAGTCTTCTGCTCCACTGTCCAGTCTGCACCACTTCTAACCCGGCCCACCCTCTACTCCAGGATCCAGTCCAGGGACCCTATGTCTAGCAATTATGGTCTGCTTTCTCCCAGACCCTGCTGCTATTGCCCTGGACTCCTTCCTACGTCTTCTGACTCCTCTGGGTTTACCAGCCCAAACTCCCTTCTCCCAGGGGGTGATTGCAGACTACTTCTCCTGAAGCCTCTGCTGTGAACTTCCTGGCTTTATACCAGCCCTACCTGTTCCTTCTCCGCTGGGCTCCATCATCAATCAACCTTTCAATCCTGTGCTCTCCCCAAGGTGCAGCCTGCTCTGCCTTGTGTGGTGTGGACACCCCATCACACACAGAGTGGAATTAGTCATGTTAACTGCCATCACAAAGAGGAAACCTAGCTCTTGATGCATCCAGAAGGATGGCAAATGTGGGATCTGGGACAAAGATGGGATGGGCTGCTCATCTGGGAATCCCATCTGGAATGAGAGAAACCCCATGGGAAGCACTGCAAGGCCTGTGATGGGTTTTTAGATGGGGTAAGATCCAAGTTACCCGGGAAAGAATTTTCTGTAGTATCTGGCTGATGAATCTTGCCCATATGCTCAGGGTTTAGCTGATCGCCATATTTGGGGTCGGGAAGGAATTTTCCTCCAGGGCAGATTGGAAGGTCCTGGAGGTTTTTCGCCTTCCTCTGTAGCATGGGGCACGGGTCACTTGCTGGAGGATTCTCTGCTCCTTGAGGTCTTCAAACTACAATTTGAGGACTTCAATAGCACAGATATAGGTGTGAGGTCTTTTTTAGGAGCGGTGGGTGAAATTCTGTGGCCTGCATTGTGCAGGAGGTCAGACTAGATGATCATAATGGTCCCTTCTGGCCTAAATATCTATGAATCTATGAAGCCACCTGCAGCGGTCAAGTGACCCAATGCAAAGTGATGCTGCACAAGGCAATGCTCCCCCACTTGCCTTGCCCAGCACTGCTTGGGCTGCGTGATGGGAAGATGAGTCTGGACTATACTCTCAGAGGTATTTAGGTATCTAATTCTTTGAGCACTCAGCCCTACGGGACATGGTAACATTGTACATGAATGTAGTAGCTATTCTCATGTAGAATGAGGAGGGATGCTATAATGGCCGTGGAGCATATTAGAACTTGACTTGACTTAACTAAGGCCTTGTCTACATGGGAAAGTTGTGCCAGTTACATGGCTATAGTTATACTGCATAGCCAACCTCCTGTGTGGACACACTTATTCTGGTATGAGTGTCCATAGAGGGAGTTATGCTGGTAGAATTATAATGGTTTAAATTCACACTTTAGGCTATACTGCAAAACCTTCCCATGTAGCCAAAGCCCTAGGGCCTTATTCTTCTCTCATTAACACTGGTGTAAAACAGGAGCAACTCCATTGCAGTGTTGTTACACTAATATAAGGGGGAGCAGACTCGGGCCCTCATTTTCAGTTTGATGCCAGCGCTCATTCAGCCATAGGCTGTGGGTAAAATTTTCAAAAGTGTGTAAGTGAACTAAATCCGATTTGAAAAAGTGCCTAATGCCCTTTGACTTTTAATGAGTCCTAGACTCCGACGTGACATAGGCACTTTGGAAAACGTTACACTTTTTCTTTTGGTTTTGTCAATGGCTCTTTAAAGGGACAATGTAAAAAAAGTCAGAGTATGTGATGATCCCAACAGAGGATCTACAAACGGTCTCATTTCATGAACTGGTTGAGCTATTCATTATGTACAGTATGCATCGTGACATCAGACCCTTTCTTGGTTAGAGAACAGTGTATGAATCAGTCTAGGCTTTTTTTCAGTGAACGTGTTGGAGTGAATAATTTTCAGACCGTAAGTCGATTGTGAACAGTTCACTCAGACTATTCCTTGTTTGGGGCATGTAGTCGATTACCAAAAGTCACATGACATTGTTCCATTCCCTGACTGGAAGAATGAACCATTTTAATCAGCTGCAAATGGTTGAATCATTAAAAGTTGTTACATGAAAGGCTAACGAACAACATGCTTTACAGACGAGCACGCTCTTTGCTAAGCTGGGAAAACTTTCAGCACTTGTGAACATTTCCGCAAATGCCTGAACACACACAAGCAGGGACTCATCCAGCCAGGTGCTAAGTGCCTCCAACTCCTACTGACAGTAATCAGAGCTGAAGAATGCTGGCTCAGGACGTGCTCAGCACTACACAAGATCAGGCCAGATCTCCCAGAGTGCTCAGCTCCCACTGTCCTGAGCCTTTTACTAAGCCAGGCCCATGAGTAGGGCTGGTCAAAATTTTTTGATCTCAGCAGGTTTTTGACAGAAATTTGAGTTTTCAACTTAATAAATTTTTTCCCCAAAAGTGGCTGCTTTCCCTGGGATATTTTGAGTTTTCATTGAAAAACTGAAAACCAAACACTTTTTGCTTTTCAGACAAACTTTTTTGATTTTTCAATGAAATGTCAACATTTTCAAGTTTTCTTTAATTTTCATTGTATTTTTCTGTGGCAAAATAAACCAGTTTTCAGGCCATCATGTTTTATAAAACAAACATGGGGGGGGAGGGATAGCTCAGTGGTTTGAGCATTGGCCTGCTAAACCCAGGGTTGTGAGTTCAATCCTTGAGGGGGCCATTTAGGGATTTGGGGCAAAAATTGGGGATTGGTCCTGCTTTGAGCAGGGGGTTGGACTAGATGACCTCCTGAGGTCCCTTCCAATCCTGATATTCTATGATTCTATGATTCTATGAAACCATCCCCTGAAATAACAGCGCCATTCAGCCCAGACACTCGGCCAGCTAGAACTTAACAATGTAAAGCAGGAACCTAGAACAGGATCAGAACAAAGTATTAAATGCACAACCTGCTCGTCAGACTGCAGGTCTGTGAGCCACAAAAGGAAGCAGCTAATAACTGGAAACATTCCAAAGGAATGACTCTCGCTGCCAGAAATATCCCACTGTGAAGGAAGAAGTGAATGAAGTTAGGTGGAAAAGGGTTGAAACGTCCCTAAGTGCTGGGAAGATAGGGCAGCAGGGTTACCTGTTGAGCCCACAGGTGATGAGCAAAAGACAGGCAGCCTAAAATTAGATAGAAATAACAGGGGAAGAATAGCCAAGGGAAAACAATTGATCATACAGTGAGTAAAAGGCCCCCAAATGCACTTAAAACCCCTCCACCTAAACAAAGACAGAAAGTTTCCACACTGACTTACGCCATCAATGCCCTTGTGCTCAGTTAGGGTGGTGGAGGAGACACCTTAGCGCTGCCAGGCAATGGGCACTAGCCCATACGAGGGAACAGCCTAGAAAGAGATTTTTCAAACCACCTGAAACACATGTATTTGCACCATGGGCGCCATAGGGTTGACGATCATTGAAATGACCTTCTGAGAATGACTTAAAGATGTGAGATACAGTGGGAAATGATGGGCCATTGATTTATACTCATATAGTTAGTAAAATGCATTATTTATAGAATGTACAGCTAGAAACCTGAGGAATTCAACAGCAAACCTACATATGCCCCATGCCTCAATGCGGGAAAGGAAGTCAAAGGGACCTGTGAGGAGTCGGGGCTTCTAAAAAGCAGGCTGGATGTAACTATTTCAGTTTACTGAGCTTATATGAGATCTAATGGGCAGAGCCTCAGCAGGTGGAAATTGTCAGAGTGCCATTGACTACAGCCCAGCTCCAACAGACTTTGCTGAAGCTATGATAATTTACACTGAGGATCTGCCACCATGTGTTTCTGGCATTGGATTGATATATGATGTGTAATTATATATGTGTGTTGGTTTATTTTAGGGTTGCCAATAAATAATTGCTGGGCTAAGAATATAATTTTATTCTTATAAAGCTGCCTGACTGTACGTGTCGTTTTGTTATGATAGGGTTGCCTGGATTTACATATTGGGTTGTTATTATTTGGTTGCCTGACTGTATATTTTGGTTTGTTATTATTGGGTTGCCTGGAGGTACACGGTGGTTTGTTATTATTGGGTTGCCCGGATGTACACGGTGGTTTGTTATTATTGGGTTGCCTGGAGGTACACGGTGGTTTGTTATTATTGGGTTGCCCGGATGTACACGGTGGTTTGTTATTATTGGGTTGCCCGGATGTACACGGTGGTTTGTTATTATTGGGTTGCCCGGATGCACACGGTGGTTTGTTATTATTGGGTTGCCTGTCAGCCCTGCGAGGCTACAGGGATTGATCTTTTTTAAGCAATAGCAACAATGTAAAAGAGCCTGGAAGCATTTCTTTTTTGGGGGAAAGCCCAGAAACATCACATTGGTCTCCTTTGATGGCCAATCTGCCTTGGCAGAAGCCAGGCTGATGGAACACACTCGTCAGCTTAGCCCTACTTGCCAATCTTCCCTGAGCGGGAGCAGAACTACAGTTCAATCTGCAGAGCCTTCGCTTTGTTTAGGCTTTTGCCCTTGGTGTTGCGAAGTCTTGTACAGGTGCTCTGCTCTTCGGCGCACAGGAACTCTGCCAAGGCAGCCGGCCTGCGTCGGTACTCCTCGTAGATCTGCTCTTCCCCAAATTCACCCAGGTAGCTGTGGCATAGCTTATATAACCTACAAAGACAAGAGAAACAGAAACAGGAATTCACGTCATTGTTATGGCAGGTGCCACCAGGTGGCGCTGTCACACACAGGACAACAGGTTGTTTATCTCAGCGTGTAAGCCATACATGGAGTTGGAAGCAATGCAGGGTTGTGATCTAGTTTCTTTGCGGGGAGCTGTTGCAAACATCTAGCAAGTTTGCTCTCTGCCTTAATCTCCTGAGCTAGAGTTGCTCACTGGTGCTGAGATTTCTGCAAGAGGGGATTGTTTGGGTGCTGTATGAACACCGCCATTCCTGGACTGGCACAAAGAGTGTCAACAAATAAGTGACACTACAAAAATATCCAGACTCAGGGCCATGGATTTCTCCGCCAACGTGCATGGCTCCGAAATCTGCTACTGCTTGGCACAAGGTTGGCAATGTTCACCGTGGAAAATGGGACTCAGGCCCGGACTCTTAAAGGTATTTAGGCATCTAAATTGGGAGTTAGGCACCAAAACCCGTTTAAAATCTGGCCTTTGGGCACTTCTGCAAACATTACCCATGTCACAGTGCCAGTCTGGGAGTCAGGTGTGGAGAGCATGCTCAGCAGCTGCCCTCTCTCCTTTGGTGCTCAACAGGAAGTGGAGGCTCAGGCTGGTCCCTGGCTGGGAGCGAGAGCCCCGGGGGACCTGTGCAAGCCCCGTTTCCATTTCTTTTGGAAGGCACCATTAATAGAGCCCAGTTTGCCACTGGCAACCCATTTAGCATCCAGAAAAACAGCCAGTTGGCTTCTAGGGGGGGTTGTTCCCCCCAAATACAGCAGGGAATTGCATTTGGTATTTCAAATTTTGCTGTGCCCCCCAAGGCTACTCCTCCATTAACACGCTCCCCAGCCCCCCACTCTTGTTTGCCTGGCTCTGGGCTTACCTTGCTGGCCATGGTCCACCCGTCATCATGACACTCATGGTCTCCTGGCTCTTCAGGCCAGGCCCTGCGAAGCGTTTCACGCCCCCCACTTCTTTCACTCCATAGCTGGGGAGAGAAGAGGGAACATCACAAAGTCACAGTGATGGTGACATGAAACATGAGTCTGTGCCTTTAAGAAGCTGTGAGGAAGCAGCTGCTCCACACAAACCCCAAGTCCCCTGGGGAAGGGGAGTGTGAGGCCAAGCAGTTGGTGGTTGGGGCTAGTGAGGGGAGGGCAGCCCAGGCCTTTCCTCTGATTACATGGGGGGCCTGTAAGCAGGAATCTATTAACCCCCTTGTTTATGTTCCTGTTGTTACATGTCACTGAACCTTGGGAATTTGCCTGCAGCTAAATAAAACACCCTCCCTGAGGTTGGCTTGAATCTGAACTTTGATCAATTGCAGGGCTGGGCTGGAGCCCAAAGCTCAAAGCTGAGCCCTCGGGAGCTGTCGAGATGGGCAGCTCCAGAGCTGAGCGGCACAGCTGGCCCCTGTCTCCAGGGTGGGCCTGAATTGCAGCCCTGGATCCCAGTGCTCTGAGTGCCAGGGTAGTGCAGGGCTGAGCCTCACACAACAGGCCGCTCTCCGAGCGCAGGGCTCTGTCCCCTGGCACCCTTGAGTGAGCTAGAGGGAGTGTGGAGGGGCCAGAGCGTGGCTGGAGGCCGTAGGCAGGGCTGTGGCAGTCAGCCAGGATGGGGAGCGCACACTGGAGACACACCTCTGCCAGCTCTGAGGGCGCTGCAGCATGCCTCCCAGTCTACACCCAGGGCAGGGGGTGCAGCCCCCTTCCCACCGCCCACTGGAGATCTCACACCTGCAGTGGAAAGAGGGGGGAGCTGGGCCTGCCTTGCCCAGGGTGGGCAGGAAAGGGGAGCTCCTGGCACTGTCTCGTCAAATTGGGTCCTGAGCCTCTTCAAGGCTCCAGGCCCATTTCCCAGGAGCAGGGCTAGCTGTGTCATAGTGGGTCAAGTTTCAGCAGGCAGAAAAAATTCCCCACACATCCTGCAGGACCCTGTACAGTGCCTGGCTTCCTGGCAGCTCTCACATAGGGCTGGTCTACATGACAACAAAGCCCAGACTTGTCCCTGTAGAGAGGAAGGATGGGCCAGTGGTCAGGGCGCTGCCTAGGACTCAGGAAAGCCAGTGTCAGGTGCCCGGGCTGTCTCTGGGGCGGCAGAGGCCCAAAGGAGCTGGCTCACCCGGGTCTCGGAGTTTGGGAAGGGCTGGCCCAGGCACTGGTGGCCTGGCTCGTGGGCGGGACTAACACTCTGAGAAGCAGCCGCAGGTCTGCACTGTTGTTTTGGTCACTGGTCGGCTCACCAGGCTGGGGGGCCTGCAGAGCCCCTTTCCCAACCAGCTGCGATCCAGGCTGACCGAACAGCACCGACAGCCTTGCCTGCCTGGGTCAGGTGTTTGGGGCTGGGACGTCAGTCCAGCTGAGACGGCAACCACCTTTTCCAGTGAGAAAGGCCAGGGAGCTGCTGCCCTGAGTGAGGAGACCACAAGGCTGAATGATGCTGGGGAAATACAAAGGCTACCAGCCTGCTCAGGGCCCAGTGCTGCCAGGTGCTGAGCACCTCTGGGAGACAGTTCACCCAGGTTCCTGGTGTCTTCCATGGGTGCTGAGCACCTTCCAGGATCACGGTGCTGTGCCTAAGGGGCCACGGAGCATGGGGCTGTGCCGAAGGGTGGTTCCGTGCCCCCCCATCACCCTTTGCTTTGGGCTTGGAGCACGACTCCCCAGTCTGAAGAAATCCCACTAATCCAAGACCTGCCTTGATCATCTGTGCTGTCTAAATATGACCTTCCCTGAGTCATTCTAAGCTCCCCCTGGACTGCTGAGGACTGAGTTGCTGTGGGGAGCCTGGTGCCCTTCCCATTCCCATCTGACGCATAAGCAGGCATCTCCCTGGAAATGCTCACGGGTCTCTCTGAGTTTAGCTTTGCTGGGTCCCGAAGTGCAGCTCAATTCCTTTCTGGGGGCTGAGGAGGAGAGCAGGCTGGGCTACGCTGGGCAGATATACTGGCTACCACGCACATATGATGGGCTCAGATCAACGCGTGCGCTGACTCACCTTTCCCAGCTCTGCGAGCAGCTGTTCTCCAGTGTGTCCACATATTCGGACTCGCTGAGGCGAGCGGCCGGCGCTTTAGCAGATGACCGTTTGGATTCTGCTTTTTTCAGGTATTTCTGCATCTTCAATACAAGACAGAGACCGGTCAGCTGAGACTGATATAATATTAAGGAGGGAACACTGCTCCATGAAGCATGGTGGGGATGTTAGCAATGCACAGCCCTGCTCTGGTCAGGGGACGCCCAAACCCACTTGTCTGAATGTGCTTCTAGTGCCTAGATTTTCGTGGAAGGGAAACACTGAGCGGATGTGACAGTGCACACACAAACAAACCTGTGGGCTTTCATGGTGCCTAGCCAGGGTACCTCACCCATATATTTAAATTACACACACGGCCCAATCTTCCAAACTGATGTGGCCCCTTGAAACATTCTGCTGGTGTAAACAGATGATAAATGACTCCCAGGGTCTCCTGGCATAAGGAGATTCCTGTGTCATGCCTCTATGTCTGCCCCTTCCAGCCCGTGGTGTAAGGGTCATTGGTAAGGCCCTGCACTCAGAAGAGCTGGGTTCAATTCTTGGCTCTTCTAGAGCAAGTCACTGACTCTTTCCAGGCCTTGACTCCTGCTCTGTGGAATCGGGCTGCCATGTGCCTGGTTTTCAACCAGAATGTCCAGCTGAAAAAGGAACCTGGCAGCGTCTGGTCAGCTGTGCTGACCAGATGCTAAAAGTCCAGTTGGCCACAGTAACTGGCCTTCGCCACTGGGGGTAGGAAGAGCAGCAGCTGCGGCTGGAGCCGCTGCTCTCCGCTCACCTGGGACGCCTGACACAGCAGTGGCTGGCTTCCAGATCGGGCTCCAAGAGGTAGGTGCCGCCACCTGGTGGTGGTGGGGATCCTGTCCACCCCCCTTCTGCCCTGATTTCCCCGCCCCAGCCCTCGCAGTGCCCTGATTGGGCAAGCTCTGTGTCAGCTCCTCCCAGCCAGGTGCGTCCTGGCAGAGTGAGCGATGGAGGGAGGGGGGCGAGGAGTGAGCAGGGGTGGGGCCTCGGGGGAAGAAGTGGGGCAGGGGGCTGGGCAAGCGTATTCGGTTTTCAGCAATTAGAAAGTTGGAACCCTACTGTGGAAGGATCCATCCCTTCCCCTTGGGATGCATGGAGGAGGAACCCAGGAGGCACTCAGACCTGCACTGGTGCAGCCATGCCAGTACTGGCTAGGAAGCCCTACCAAGCCTGCCCCAGTCAATGGGGCTGCTCAGGAGCAGCTCCTAAAGCCAGCCTGGCTGTGTCTGTCATAGAATATCAGGGTTGGAAGGGACCTCAGGAGGTCATCTCTAAATGGCCCCCTCAAGAATTGAGCTCACAACCCTGGGTTTAGCAGGCCCATGCTCCAACCACTGAGCTATCCCTCCCCCAACATATATCCCCAACTTTCGGGGGGGTGTCAATGGAGGAAACAATGTCTCTCCCCAGCTTTTGTCCAGCTCCTTCCCCCTTCCTGTGCCAGCGGCCTAACAGCTGCTGGGCTCGGCCAGCAGGTCTCATCAGTCCCCAGCTGGGCAGGCTGGAGACTGCAGCTGGGACTCCTAACTAGGCAGCTCTGACTCTACCCTGGCCTGCCTCAGCCACCCCCCACTGACTGGGGGGATTTGGGTGTGGGGAAGGCAGGGCCTGGCTGGACAGGCAGGGAGTAGAGTGCGCCGGAGGGGACTGAGCTGGTAGCAAAGCCACCAACCATCCTGCAGGCCTGGCCTGCAATTGCAGCTGGTGGCCACCAGGGGTGCAGTCACAGGCAGCCAGAAGACCCCTTTCTCTCACCCTGTGCTGCACCCCCTGCTGGATTCAACCCAGGAAGCAGCCGCTGCGGGAGCAGGGACCAAAGGGGAGCAGGGAACAGCATTGACCCCTGGTTCCCCTTCTGGCACCTGCCAGCATCCACCCATATCCCTAGCCCCCTGGCGCTCTCTAGAACATAAGCCCCTAATGCCAAGGTTTGTGCAGCTCCGTGCATGGCCACTGCTGGGGCCAGGGCCTGTTGCCCACAGACTGAAGCTGAAAGTTATATGGGCAGTCTTTTCAAAATGCAAATCAGCTCGTTAAATAATCTGCTTAAAAGTGGGACACACCACGTGTCCCCTCCCTCCAAACCCCTGGGGGAAGCGGTGAGTGTGTGAGGGATGGACGGATGGATGCACAGGCCGAGGGATTGCTGTGCAGCAACGCCTCCAGTCCATTTTGCACGTGAGTGGGGGCAGGAGCCTGTCTGCATCGTGGTCCTCGAACACTTGCCCGGAGTTTCCTTTCTTTCAGGCCAGAAGCTAAAATAAGTTTACATCCTCCCCTCACATACCAGTAAGGCTCAGCTGCAGTGGCCATGCAGAGGCAGCAGCAGGCCACCTGTTAGCAAACGTTTGGAGCAAAGCCTGAGGCCAACAGAAAACCAAACAGGCATTGGCCCTGAAGGATGGCAGATGAAAGAGACTGGTGGAGGGGGGCGGGGAACGATGGAGAAGAGAGAGCTGGACAAAGAGATAGGAAGACAACAACCTGCATTGGATGGCCTAAGGCCCCTCCCTCTCTAATTCTTATGAGCCCTGTGCTACCCTGCCAAGCTGAAAGGCTAGGTATTGAAGGCTCAGCACTCACAACAGAGGTGAGGCTAGCTAGAGCTCAGCACCTAAACAAGGGACTGATTTATCAATACCCAACATGCCAAGCTGTTTGGCAAAGCCTGGCACAAGAGCCAAAAAATAGTTACTCTCAGGGGCAGCTGCAGCTCAGCTCGTCTTTATTCTGCATGGTTGGAAAGGACCTGTTTCAGTCACCACAGCACCCTGCCATAGCGTCAGGGTGTCAGTGCCCATTTGCAGCTGTTTGGTGAACATGTGTAATGAGTTTGGTGGGCCTCAGTCTTAGCTCTCAGCAACCACCCCTGTAACTCAGAGCAGCTACAGCCTTGGCTTTCTCCTTGGCTGTCTGCTCTGGGTCAAGAAGCCTGCACCCCCCAGTCTCCTGTAGGAGTGGTCCCTCCGGGCCAGGTCTGACGCACATGTAGGGAAGCAGGGCATGATGGGAGGGAGCTTGCGCTGCTCTTAGCAGTGCTTTATCTAGGGGGCTGCCAGCCCAGCACAGAACACACACACTTGGAGCCAGGCATAGGCACTATGGCTGAGTTCCCATTGAAGTCAAAGGGAGTCAGGTGCCTGAAGACCTCTGAGGAGCTGAGCTAGACCACTAAAGTGTTCCCAATGCAACAGTCTCTATCAATGAGCCAAGTCCAGAGAGCTGGGGGCTCTAGTACTACGTCAGAGCGGTGAGCTGTGCGGGATGCTGGATGCAGCAAAAGAAACCCATTCATTAGCTCATGGGCAGAAAGGCATTGGGCACAGACACAGCAGCTGGTCAGTGATCAGGGCTCCTGCGGGGGATCTATGACCAGCTTTGCCACTGACTTGCTGCATGAACATGGCCAAATCACCTAACCCTCTGAGGGATGGGGCATAAATGCTTCCCTACCTCCTACAGGGGATTGCAAGGCTGAATTCCTGGGTAGGAAAGAGCTGTGAGATCTCAGCCAGAAGGGGCTGTAGTCAGACTCGCACAGGGCTGGTATGGTTTGACTGCAGCCTGAGCCCAGCGAAGGCTATTGAAAGCAGCTGTGTGGCTGTTTTCTCGGGGATTTTCTCCCGGGACGCTCTGCACCTGCAGGCTTCTGGTTGGGGTGATTTGCATAAATCCATTTTTACCCTCTAGCGGGAAAACAGAGGCTGCTTTGGGACGGCTGTGAGCCAGCTGTTAACGGCAGCATCTCTGCAAGAGGAGGTTTTCTTTTTAATACACCAGGGACATCCTCTAATGTAGATTTAACTTCTGCAACTGCCCATGTTGGACTGGCAAGCTATGAATGCCTCACCCCTGTGTCTCCTGGGGAGCTGGGCTCTCCTGCATTAGTTCCTGTGCAGCGCAGCATGGCTGTCTGAAATACAGGGACTCAAGGCCCTCAGCAGTTGCTCCTGCCTCGGAGTTCAATGCAGATATGCTGCTTTGCTAAGGAGATAAGCCGGAGGAGAGCAGGACTGCCAGGAGCCCAGGGAAGGCCCAGTACTTCGGCTCAGGACAGGTCACTGGTAGCCGTATGTCCATTCCCACCTAGCTTTTGGGGGAGGGGGGCGAAGCTTAATTCAGTCATGCTTAGGAAGTACCTTGAGAGCTTTAGATGGAAAGTGCTGTGCCATTGTTAGGACTGAACATTTGTTTCACAATGGCGTGATCCAAAGGGCATTGAAGTTAGCGGAAAGACTCCGCACCACTTGTCTACTCTAGCCTTTCCCCTTTAACATGTCTTCACACCATTACTAACTCTAGGGCAGCTCTAGTGTAGACAAGGTGCTGGAATTTAGCTGCTGCATTGCCTAACCCTGCTCAGAGCAAGTCTAGATAAACTCAGCTCCGACACCCATGAGGAACAGATCTGCCAAGTAAGAAGCCGCACTTTTGCAGGGTTACTTTGCAGAGCAGAGCTGCACTTTAAGGAGGTGATTTGGAGTGAGTTTTTCTGAGTGTGGCACATGGCATTTGGATGGGAAAGTCCCTGAATGGGCTGAGAGGATAAGGTGTCTACAACATAAACTGTGCCTCCGAATAACAGTGGGTGCTAAATTGTGTTGGGGGCCAGGTTCTCAAAATCTGGCCTCAGAGTGCCTTGCTGAGCCAGAAGATTATTACAGCAAAGTGGTGTGGGATGCATATAACTTTGGTTTATAGCCAGGCACAGCAATTTGTACCAGGTTCACAATGTCAACCATAAAAAGTAAATAAAAGGCCATTAAATCTGGGTTACATATTACAAGTCACTTGCATCAACTGCGGAATTTATACCAGAGGAAGGGGAGAAATACCCAGGAGAGCCAGTGCTAGAGAATCCAATTGCAGGACTGAGTCCTAAATCTCTGGCCCAGGAAATGCCTGCTTCATGCCAGGGAGACTGAATGGACATTGTTCCCCTGGCTTTCCCTTGACAGTGGCCGGTGACCCATTCCTCTTCCCTCACAGTTTCTAGGAATGTGGGCAAGGGAAGCAGCTCTGGCAAAAATTCCTTTGCCAAGATTTTAGAGCTGGATTCTCCTCTTAGCTCTGCCTGGCAGATCTCAGCTCTGGTATTCTGATCCCCCTTCATGCTCTGACTCTCCGTGCCTGCCCCCTTGCTCCCTGAGCAGCAGAACCTGTGTGCTTCAGTGACGGGCAGAGCCCATCCCAGCGCTGGAGGATAAGGTAGGGTTTGCCCCATAGAGATTTAGGGCTGGGTTACTCTGGTCACGGAAGGTGAGAGCCTGATCCAACCCACCCATTGAGCCTTCAGAAGTTCCTCCACAGGACAACCAAGAGGCCCATGCTCCTCTGGCTGGCAGGAGGGTGGGGGGCATATACAGCCTCTCTGTGCCAATGGACTCCTCTGTCAATCAGGTGGAAATACCAGCAGCAAAATCAGCTGAGCAGCATTGGAAATCCCTGTGTAAGGATCCTGCAAGGGGAGGGACTGTCTTCTTGTTCTCTTTGGGGTCCTGGTCCATGACAGGGGGTTGCTATGTAATAACAGTAACAACAACAACAACAAAATAGAGACTCTAACAGGTCTTGTCCATCTCTCCTTTTGCTCATACATTATAATACACCGACTTGTAATTACACGGCAGTTACAGCGTAATGCTAGAGGGTAACCCAGTTACTTCACTGTCTGGGTATAGGATTTCAGGCGAGGTACCTGTACCCAAAACTACCGTTTCACAGTTGTTGTCGTGTCATGTGTTAAGAGTGACCCTAAAAGGGTAACAACAAGTAATTCAGTCATGGAGTTCACTTGACTGTTAATAGTATCTCCATGTATTGGAAGCATAACCACACTATAACTATACACTAATTACTACAATGTAACTACAGTCACTGTATTATAAACTTCAGTGTAACTACAGTCACTATCATCAGGTGAACCCTCAGTTCTGTGATCCACTGATTTGCTTCAGATTTTAATGCGTTTCTGTGTGGGCCTTTGTCCCGGGCCGCTGAGGCCCAGTGGCCCTAATGCTTGCGGGGCGGGAACTCACCTGGAAGGCTATCGCTCTGCAGGCATCACATTGAAGGTGCTCAGGCATATGGGCAGAATAGGCTTCCTCAGCGTTGAAGCGGGGGGCTGTAGCAGAGAAGGCCGTCTCCGAGACTGGGCCCGAGTCCCCGAGGGGGTTGCTGCAGGGAGAATGCTTTCTGTCATCTGCTGCTCTTAGATCAAAAAAGGTCAGCACCAAGACAGCCGGCAGCAGTGACTTCATTTCCCCTGCTTAGAGAGCCCCTCTCAGGAAGCTACTGAGAAGGGAGAGAGGCTGAATGCACTGAAAGGAAGCAGCAGGTCAGCAATAAGCAAACCCTTTGGCCAATGAGAAGTCACTGACACTTCACCAAGGCAGTGTCACCCTCTGCACAACCCGCTTTGTTGTAGTTTTTTTACCCAAATGAAAACCCCGTTGGTTAAGGCCCTGGTACAAACACCTGGGGGGCATTGGTGCTGCAGCTTTCCACTGTTTTCCCCTTCTTCAGTCTCAAGGCATTTGTGGTGTTTGGGGGTCACTTGTGGCCATAGTTCTGCTAAATATAAAAAGAAAAGGAGTACTTGTGGCACCTTAGAGACTAACCAATTTATTTGAGCATAAGCTTTCGTGAGCTACAGCTCACTTCATCGGATGCATGGCTCTAGACTGTTCTCAATGGTAGCAGATGACAGAACGAGGAGTAATGGTCTCAAGTTGCAGGGGGGGAGGTTTAGATTGGATATTAGGAAAAACTTTTTCACTATGAGGGTGGTGAAAGACTGGAATGCGTTACCTAGGGAGGTGGTAGGTGGTAAACTTCCTTAGAGGTTTTTAAGGTCAGGCTTGACAAAGCCCTGGCTGGGATGATTTAACTGGGAATTGGTCCTGCTTCGAGCAGGGGGTTGGACTAGATGACCTCCTGGGGTCCCTTCCAACCCCGATATTCTATGATTCTATGATTCTAAGTGAACTGTAGCTCACGAAAGCTTATGCTCAAATAAATTGGTTAGTCTCTAAGGTGCCACAAGTACTCCTTTTCTTTTTGCGAATATAGACTAACACGGCTGTTATTCTGAAAGCTAAATATAAAGACACAGAAGCATGAAGGTGTTACAGCTGGAAGTCCTAAGAGAGCAACCAGACTGCTTCCCTCTTGGACTGATGCAGGGTTGAGCTTATTAGCTAGCCTCCTGGCCAGTCTAGGGTTAAATTTCCCCAGGCCTCAGGTTTCCACCCCTTTCCTGGGAGAGTTTATTCCTCTGCCTCATTCACTAACCCCTAGGAGTGTTTTCAGCTTAATTCCACCCCCTGATCCCTAGTTCTGTCCTCCTGATAAATAATGCCACCCTAAATAATTCCACACCCCAGCTGAGATGTTGCACACTTCCAGGGTTTGCAAAGAGTTCTCAAGTTCCCACTTACAAGCTGGTCACTCTGAAATCCTTTATTCTCTCTTTTTCAATCAGCCCCCCAACAATCCCCTGATTACTTGATTGTTCTTCCCTGCTTCATGCCCTCCACTTTCTCACCCTACGTCTCCCCAGTGCCATAGAGGAAGTGACAGCTTGTGTTGCTTGTGTTTCTAGCAGTGGTAACGAGTGGCTCACTTTCTCTTTGGCGCCAAACTTTGCCTGAGCCCAGCCCTGCGGCTCTGAATCAGTGGGAGCAGTACCTGATTAAGGCCTGCAGGGTCAGACCCCAAACGTTGCTCAGACAGTCTATGACTCCAACAGGTGAGAGATGGTTTCATTGGGGCACCTAACTACACTAGGCTCTGTGGACAGTCACAGCCTCTCCTAACAAATACTGTTCCATGACACAATGGCCTCAGCTGGGGTAGTCCATAGACTTCGCTGGAGCTGCCTGATTTACACTAGTTGGTGATTTGGCCCCTTGTGTTTTGACTGAAGCAATCAGGTAGCTGGTCGGTGTATCCTGGATTCTGTAACTATCTTCAGGGAATCCAGGCTTTATTAATTCACTGGGGGGTGGAGCTGGGCACTAAGCACAAATCCCCCAGCTCTTCTGTCCAAACTCCCACCAGGTTCTCACATTTGTATGGCAGTTTGCTCTGCCCCCTTTGCTTTAGCTACAAGAAGCTCCCCCCACCCCACCCCCTGGGCTCACTGATGTGCTCTAAAACACGGCAGGTCCCTTGCTCAGAGCTAAAAGTGCAAGGAAGGGTTAGCCCGGTGGCTGCAGGCCAGGCGCGATCAGCTGACTGGCACAATTCCTAGCTACACTAAGGAAGTTCAGATCCATCTTTGTGAAATTTCAGTCGCCTCCAGGTAAATCAGCAGATCGGAAGATCAGACTTGCAGTTATATTGCCCTCGGGGAGAAAACCACTTAGAATCTTAAGGCTTGAAAATGTAGGGCCTGGTCCAAGCAAACATACCCCTTTCCTTCCACGCAGCACACACTGAGGGCTTGGCTCTACAGCTGGCTCAGATATACAGCGGAAAGGTCAGCCTGGCTCAGATGGGCACAAATGGAGCAGGCTGCTGGTGAATGGAAGACGGCAGGTCAGTGGCATCTGTGAAATGAGTTGGCAGGTCTCAGTACATAGATCTGCTGAGCATGGTATAACAACCCATATAGAATAGAATACAGAAGCCAAGTAAAGCACCAGGTGGCACCATTCCTGGCAGTTGCTGCTCTTTCCAGGTGGATAGATTTTATTTTTGCTTAAACCTGGGTTCCCCCCACCCCCCCGAACCTCCCACCTGCACAGCTTTCAGTGCAGAATCAGAGCTTGCATAGCTCTGTGCCTCAGTTTTCCCATCTGCAAAATAAAAATAATATGCCACTTAATTCCCTCCCGGGGCATTGTGGGGCTTAAATCATTTCTGTTTGTGCAGCCCAACAGAAAGGCAAAGAAATAATAAAAGAAGAAGGAGCGAAGCTCTCATCACGAGGAAGAGCCTGATCCTGCATATTTTGCCTACTCAAAACACCCTGTGGAGTGCAGCAATACAGAAATGCAACAAGTATCGGTTTAGCCTGGGGCTGTTGTTCCATGCAGCATTGTATTCGATTTCAAGTTTTTTTGGATTGTCTCTTAATGATGTTTTCTGTCATGGTCCAGTCCTGCAAACGGAGGTGACTTATCTTCAACTGGGGCTCCTCAAATAGACAGCTTCCAGGACCAGCCCCTTAATGGGGTCAGAGGCTGAACTGGCATAGCAGGTTGACTACCAAAGTGCCCATGGCCCATTGAAATCCACAGGAAACTTTTCATTGGCTTCTCTGTGCTTTGGATCGGCACCTCAGTGAATCAGCCTGTACTGTACAGAAGAATTGCATTCAAGTCGAACATATCAGGAATCTGCATCAACATACTGCGCCCCCCGTAAGGTGGGTTCCGATACAATTTCACACACATGATTAATATAATGGTTTCAAATCTCACCACTTTTATTGCCCTTTAAAAATGTATTTGTTTTATGCATGTTAGAGAAAGGTTCCTTTAGCCCCACGAGCAGGACAGGGTCCAGTATGACAGTCCCGTCCAGTCCTATCTCATTGCAGATATAACCTCTGCATTACAAAGCAAAACAAAGTATTCAACACCAGCTATTTTGTTCAGTGTCTTCATCTTCTCAAGTGTATACAAAATTTTCCTGGAACAGGGGAAAGACACAAATACATCAAAGGGAGACAACAAGGCACTTTTAGCAGGTCCATCTGAACCTATCTTTCCAGGTTGCTGGGCAAAGCATATTCTCCGGAGCGAAGAGGGCCTGGCAGTTCAGAGCGTCAAGTGTCACTCCTGTTGCTTTTTTCTGGTGCCGCACGTGATCACATTTAAAAAACAAAACCAGATTAGCACCAGTAGACAACTGATCAGCTCTTGCATTTACTAGGAATCCAAATACTGATCACGCCATGTCCTGATCCTGCAATCAGGCCCACAGACCAGAGCACTGTGAAGAATCTTGATGTCTGGGCTAATGTAACCCTAATTTACGCCCCTCTCACCTGCTACACTAGCAGATCTGATTGCACAAGCAGGGTCTCCAGCTGATGAACCCATGCTTACCTTTGAAAAAAGGCCTTCTGTTTTTTTATTCCCCAGATGATGGACCCATTACACATTTCTTCTCTTTGTTAAAAGCTCACAATGTTCTGCAGTGCGGATCCTGCAGTGGTTTCACTCCAGGCTAACATACTGTAACTGAGAGCAGGTTGTGCCCCTCAGTGTCTGGCCCATTTCTATAATACCAGCTATTTCACTTATATTTGGGCAGGAATGGTGTCCCTAGCCTCTATTTGTCAGAAGCTGGGACTGGGTGACAGGGCATGGATCACTTGATGATGATCTGTCTATTCACTCCCTTTGGGGCACCTGCCATTGGCCACTGTCAGAGGACAGGATACTGGGCTTGATGGACTTTTGGTCTGACCCCACATGGCCGTTCTTATTTGTCAAATAAGGAGGGAATTTTCAAAAGCTCTCTGCATTGGCCTAACCCTACTCCCTTTGAAATCAACGGGAGTTTTGCCACTGACTTGAATGGAGAGTGGAGTTAGGCCAATCAAAACTGAGTGCATTTGAAAATCCCACCCTATATATCTAATGATGAGCCTGCCCCATTGTTACATGGTCACCTAATGACTGACCCTACTGCAGTGTACATGAGGATGGTGGAATGGTTCCTGTGGGAGTCTCTTCAGGCATAAGTGGCTTTCAGATCCCAGCTTTTACTGTTGCATTTAACATAGTTACTGGCTTTTAACTTCCCTAGTTTAAGATAAAAAAGAAAATATTTGAAAGCATCTTGAGTAATAAAATCTCATGCTTCAGGGCTGCTGCTGATCACTGATAGGGTCAGGAAGGACACTTCTCTCCTGATCTGGCACTGAACATATGATATTATGGGAGGGAAGGGTGCTTCCTTTATTGGATTTAGGGTACTCATAGACCTATGGCTTGCCCTAGTGTGGTATGGTGGGGATTACAGCTTGCTCAACATGTTGTCCTTTGCTCTGAACAGGTCAGCTTGTCATCGAGTCAGCATGTCAGGCGTTCCAGGATGGATGCAATTTAGAAGGCTGATCAAGCTTTTCCCTGGCTGCTGTCCATGATAAACAGCAAAGGGATGAAAAGTTAAGGTGGCTTAGAAGGCTGGCAAGGGCTGTTGATCTGTGTTCATCTACAGTGAACTTTCCCAAAAGCTCTGTAGTAGGCACAGAAAGGTGTTATCTATGATACTGCAAAGGTTTAGTGGGCTCATATGTCTTGCTTTCTGGCTGTAGATTTCCCTAGAGATACTCATCCCCACCTCTTGCCAGGCCATGATGGGCATTCCGCAGAGAAATACAGTTTAATTTACTTGTATACGATTCTTTTGCCCCCCCCCCCACCCTTGCATGAAATCCCATTAGTTCTGACGAGATTCCAGGATGTGACATCACAAATACCGGAAGTCGCACTGCAGCCTGGGTAATCCATGGTAATCCATTGGATGTCGCCAAAAGATGCATTCTGGAATCTCATCAGAGAAGCAGGAAGTACTGAGAGGCTTTCCAAGAGGGCTAGAAAGAATTTGTAAAGGTTTACTTCTTATTATGAATTTGTCCTGCAGTAGTGCCTAGAAGGCAGGGCCCTGCTGTGCTGGGCATCATTTCTGTGCTGAATGCCTCCCACGGCAGTGTGATAAATAATAATCACACTTACAGAATGCACTTCATCGGTAGATCTCAAGGCACATTACAGAGATGAGTCACTATCATAACCCTCAGATGGGGAAACTGAGACATGCCGCATCTGAGTGACTTGCCCAAGCTCACCCAGTGAATCAGTGGCAGAGAGAAGACCGACACCATGACTCTGTCACCCTATTCAGGTGCCTATGCTGCGTTCTCTCAGGGCGGGGGCATAAGGGATCGAAATCGCTGCTTAGCTCAGGTTTCATGCTTGATTTGCAGTTCACCTTTAAGCACCACTATTAAATTACCCCTTCCCATTTCGCACACACTATTCAACCTGCATCAACCCTCCTTTCACCTGACCAGATATCAATTCCAAGGAGCTAGAATGGCTGGACCTAACACCTCTGGCTCCTGCCCAGCCAGGACGTCCAAGCTACTCCAGGGCTGGCAGCTCTAAAGCATAGCAGTGTTGAGCTGTTAGCTAGAGATTCTCATTAAACCTTGTTAAAACTCGGCACAGGGCCCTGCCTACACTTTGGCCTCAGAAAGGCAAATATCCCCTCTAACTCCGTCGCCCTTTGCTCTCATTCCACCTTCCCCCACATCACTTCTGCTCCCCTCTTCCCTGAGCCAGCCACGTGTTTCTCCCCACTACACACTGCTGAGCAGCCTCACTCTCTGCACCCCAGACAGTCCTTCCCCCTGGCTGACTCTGGTCCCTGAGGGCTGCTCCGGTTTCCTTTCCTCTTGCGGTGCCGTGGCTCCTAGGAAAGGCAGCTGAGCTGGTTCTGCCTTGTTTCCAGCCTCTCTGGCTGCTTCCTTACACTGAGCCTGACACCTGCAGAACAGCTGGAAACCAGTGAGCTGGCACGTGAGCAGGGAGCTGTCTGTAAAGCAGCAGCAAGAGCTCTGCACCACTGCCCTGGACGCTGAAGCTCAAACACCCCTGGGGCCTGATCCTGTGAGGCACAGTTCTTCACCCGAGCCATGCCCCTGATGTCAGTGGGATTCCCGCGGGGGGCAAAGGCCACTCGCGCTGAGAAGGGCTGCGCGATCGGGCCTGCAGGCTGGGTCTAGCACCGAGCTGGAGCATGTGATGTGCTTTCTACACTAGCAGACTGCCTGCATTTTGAATGTGGACAGAGGCAGGACCTCCCCTGGCCACAGAGGAAGGTTTAGACCATGTTCATACACAGTTTCTGTACCCAGGTTACCAGCAGCAGCTCTGATCGTTTACACTGGAAGAAGTTTAATAATTGATTAACTCTCTTCTCACGCTTCCTACTGCTTGCTTATTTTCCACACGTCCAGTGGGGTTGGACTGGGTCCCTTTGTTCCAGTACTGACCATCTGCTGAGCACTAAGATGCAACTTACTAAATACATCACTAAATAGCCATTGCCTTCCATGCTGACCCATATGAACCTCTTGTTTCCTTGTGCCCCCTTGTCTGCCTGCCTGTCTGTCTCCACCTGTTGTCTTTTGTTATATTTAGATTGGAAGCTCCTTGGGGCAGGGACTGCCTTTTTGTTCGGTGTTTGTACAGGGCCTGGCACAACTGGGTCCTGGGCCATGACTGCAGCTCCTTGACGCTGCCACAATGTACATAAATACATTAATTATCCTAATAGTTATTAACAGACGTGCTTTGGACATACTGTAATTTTTCTTTTCTATACAGCAAAGGACAAAAGCGCCAGATTCCTTAATTATTTCTCACTCAGTTCTTTGGGCCAGGACCTCAGCGGGGGAAAACAGGTACAACCTCATATGATTTCAGTGGTACCAGTCTGAGGATCTGAGCTGGTGTGGGGCGGGGAGGTCTGACTACACTGCAGTCACGGGGCATGAGTGCAACTTGAGTTGCAACTTGCAATCTTTTAATCTAGCCTGGGTAATTACTTGCTGGGTTTGCCCAAACTGCCGTGGGTTTACTGCTCTCGCACCGGAGCTAGCTAGCTCGAATCTGTCTCATCAAGCTGCGACCAACCCTACTGCAGTATAGACATACCCTGGGAGCATGTAGGCCAAAGAAACCAAAGGAATAATGATGCAGTGAAAAATATGTCAGAACAAGAACAAATTGCAAAAAAAGGCAAAGCCAAGCCCAATAGCAACTGTTTGCAGTGTCAGGTAAGAGGTTAAGCAGGCAGGTAAGAGCCTTAAGAGTTTAAGCAGGACTTACGTGGTGTACCTTTCCTCTGCAGGGCTGCATTTCACTCAGCCAGCCCCGCAAAGCAGCCAAGAAACAGCTAAGATTTCCCACAGGTCTGAGAACCTATTTTTAAAAATGATTATTGACCCTTTTTGCTAATACTGAAAATACTTGGACAAGTTCCATAACAGCTCTCACAGATTCCCAGGCTGTCACACATGACCAGCCAGGCTGCCCTCCTGCAGGGTAGAAAACTTCCCTGAAATAATTTTACAGTCAGCTTCCACAGCCAGTGACCATAGCCCATAACGCAGCATGCCCTCCCCTTTTCACAGACTCTTTGCTTGACAGGACAAAACAAGCTGGGAGGTGGTATGCATTCCAGCCTTCATGCATGCAGCCCCTTGAAACAGCGATCTTCACAAATAAAAACTAGGCTGTGTGGGTAATTTTTGTAATGCTGACTAGTGGAAGTTTTGTCTTTCAAAGCGAGAGAGTGGGTTTCTCCTGGACAGCATCCGACCAATACAGAGTAAGCAAAAACCAAAATAAAATGATTGTTACCTGGCACAGGGCCCGATCCTGATCCACTTAGTGCTGAGCACATATAACTCTGGTGGCTGGTGAACAGCACCTCCCAGGATCAGGCCCAGCATTAGAATAGTTTGTTCTGTGCATCAAGAAACAGATCAGCAGTTATGGATGAGAGGCTGCTAGGCTAAATCCTGGTCCCTTTGAAATCAATAGCAAAATTCCCATTGACTTCACGAGCACCAGGATGGTCAGGGCTGGTTACATTTAATTAGTCTGGCTATTGCATTCTTCATTCTCATTAGAAACCAATGAGATGAACCAGAAGTGATGTGCCTCGTGCTGTCTTCTTGGTGCACTGTTACCTCTGATTTGCTTTGGAAGCCCAAACATCTGGACAAGGGGAGCAAAGTGTAACCAGCAGGGTCAGGCAGTGGGTCTCTCTCTCCTTTTCCACCACATCTTGGGGACTGGTGTAGGCTTGACTTGTTTTCAAGTATGAATGGTCAGAAATAAATACGCAGTACACATTCATTGAGGGGAAACCCACCATTTTAACCCTCCGTGTGCTGCAGGTTCATTTGGGTGAGGGTCTCACATCCGGAACAAGGGCCCTTTCTCCGGCATGGAAGGACTGAAACTTGCAGCTGGGGAGAACAAAGACTGATTAGGGCTAGGACTTGAATTCATCCCAGTAGGAATATAATATAAACTCTCCATGTAGTTGCAGTCGGTGGCTTGAGTAGCTGGTGGAGCTTCGCCTTTTGGACCAGGGCTGAAGATTTCAGTAACATTTGTATTTTCTTGACCAGGCTGTTGGTTTGGCAGATCGGGGTGGACGGATGGCACAGCCACAGGAGGAGGAGGAAACCCTGGGAATCCCGGATATGGTATGTAGGGCGGTCCATAAACCCCTGGATTCATGACCAGTGGGTTGAAAGGAGTTGGGTAAAGCCTACTATGTGATGCCAAGGGGACTGGTGGTATCAACACTTCAAGGTACTGGCCTGTCTCTGGGTCATAGAGCATTTTCAGCTGCGGCTGTCTGGGAGATTCCATGTAGTAGCACTTCCCGCTGTCTGGATCAACGAGCATTTTCCTGTGAGCCTGGGGCTGGGGAGCAAAAGACCTGGTGGGGCTAGGGGCACTTCTGCTACCCGGTGAAATGCCATTGTTCCTCCTCAGGAAATTGGGTGAGTCGTTGACTCTGCAGTGGGGCTGGACATGGCTTGGCTGGTCATGCACGGCGTGGTCCGCGGCTGTCTTGCCCTCTGGTGCTTTCGGCTGAGGAGACTCATTGCTCATTGTGCTCATGGGTGCTTCCCTGCCTGGCTGGAAGGACACGTTGGAACTGACCAAAGTGTGGTGTGGATGGGAGGGCACCAAGGGCTTAGGAGCTGCTTCGGGTTTCTGGGCTTTCACAGGAATCGTTAAATAGTTGGCATTCTCAGCATGGGTGGCTGTGAAATATTGCTCGTTTCCTGCCTGCTGTGTGTTCAAGTGATCCCAATTCTCCCTCTGATCTTGGAGCTTTCCAGCTGGGGGTGATGGTGCAGCAGAAGGAACTCCTGGTAGTCTGGTTCCTTCGCTGTATTCCTTTGATCTCAAGGGGGTATTGGAATTGGCACACTCTGGAGACATGCGGGTTGCTGGCACAAACACTTGGCTATCCAACGGCCTGGGGGCATCAAACACTTTGTTCTGGGCCTTCTGCTGATGCGAACTGTTAGCAGACTGATTGTTTGCTGGTGTGTTTGTGTGGGATGTTTGGGTACTTGTCACTGTTGACTTTATGGGCTGTAGATGTCTGTAGCCTTCCTTGGTCGGTTCGGAGACCTTGTTTTCTTCTTTTGGACTGACAGAATAGTCTTGACTGTTGCTAGGTGTCAATGAGATGATCTCAGTGGATAAATGCTTCTGAAATGGCCACTTAGACTCCTTGTGACCTGGCCTGGCAGTGTTGTGATTGATGTCAGTGTGGTTCTTGGTGTCCTTAGGAGAGGCTGAAGATGGAAACAGAACAGCTTCACTTTTTTCTAGTGAGTTGCAATTAGCTTGTGTCAATGAGTCTTTCGTAGCCCTTCCATTCGAAGCGGAGTAAGTTGGAGCAGGGAAGTGGTCAGCTTGTGTTCTATGTGGATGCTTGGAAAGAGAACTGTTGACCTTGATATTAAGCTGGGATTCCATCTGAGGTGCTTTCCTCGTGGCTTTGGAAGATGGTGTTACATTTAGCTCACTCCTCTCATAATGCACTTGTTTATTTTCAGGCTTTAGTTGGGGTTCTTCATTCCCAGCTACAACCTTCTTCTTGGACTGAATTTGAGTGATGTGCATTGAAGATTCACTCACTGCAGTGCATTTGCTTTCAGTAAGACTGGCAGGTCCATCCACGTGGGGCTTAGTGATGGGGTTTAAAGTGGCACTGTGTTGCAGGTCACTCGCTCTCTGATCTGGTATGGAAACCGCTGACACATCTAAGTTCAGCGGCTGCTCCTGGTTTTTTCCATGTGAATGGGTCTTTGTTTGCACATCATCTTTGCGACACACCGAGGTACAGTGTATAAACAGAGGGGAGGTTGCAGTGGACTCCTTTGTTGATAGGCTTACACTATCCCCACTGTTGGTTTCTTGGTCTATATTGAAGCTGTCTGAAGATTTAAAGCACAAGCTATAGGTGTTCTTAACTAACTTTCTGACATCCCTGGGCTGATGTATCCGCCCCTTCCCTTTATTCTCTGTCTTCTTGGCTTTCTGAGTGCATGATGCTTCAGGGGGTCTGCTTTTCTCATCACTGCGTGATCTGCAGGAAGTGGGCAAAATGAGAGCAGAATGCTTGGTGCTCTGCACTGCTGCTGGCCTCTTCTCCTCAGCACCTCCCTCCGGAGTCAGCTGCCTGGAGACATTCAGTATCTTCTGTTGCTGCTCGGGTTTGCTATGTGGGATCAGTTTCATCTCCTGCGTTGTGGACGTGAAGATGTTCCTGGCTGGATCCCTGGGCACCACGAAGCTTTTTGGCTTGAAAGGGACCTTCTCCTCTTTCCGTGACACGTGTTCGTTCTTGCTGATAGCTCGCTGCTTCAAACTGGGCCATGGCTTTTGTGCTTTGGAAAACGTCGGGGTGACACCCAAGCCTTTCACCTCAGCCTGCTTGGATTCAAACAGGGCACGAGCTCTCCAGTATTCTTTCCTCTCTCTGGCAACCTGCTTCCTGCTGTCACCTGAATCCCCGTTCATATCATCTGCCAAGATGGGGAGTGGCTTGGACTGGGTGGCTTCTTGAGACTTCAGTCTTTCATTCAGCTCATTGAATGTCTTTTTCAGCTTGCAGACATTTTCCCTTTGCTGCTCGTTCAGCACTACCCCTTTGGTAGGCCGCAAGGCATCTGTACTTTCTTGGCTCATTGACTCAGACCTTTCACTCATTGAATGACTCTGCAGATCTTCAGCTGAACAGCTGCAGTCGGACTTGGACAGAGAACTTGACTTCCCTTCCGTGAAATCCCCCACAAGGTCCGTACTTACGGAGGATGGTACAGAAGAAGTCAAGCTGCCCTGCATCGATTTCTGCTCCATTCTGATCCTCTGTTCATACTGCATTTTCTTGGCCAGCACATTTTTCACCAGGCAGGAGGCCATCCTGGTTTTGCTGTACGAGTCGTCTAATGACGCTGTTCTCATAAACTGTTTGTAGTTTATCCTGAATTCATCGCTGATGGTCCTGCCCTTCAGGCAGGGGTTATTCCTGGGTGCTGCAAAGGGCTGATGAGCAGTGCAGTCCCCTGCTCTGAGGAAACTCATCTGATTCCTGTCTCTCTGCTTTAGCTGGATCTGCCTCTTGGGCACGGTCCTCTTTTTGGAGTGGCCCTTTTTGCCGTCGGCACTTTCCAAAGCCACATCAACACACTTGAGCGGGTCCTTCCCGAATGAGTAACTGGGCGGATCTTTTTCTGGAACTTGGCTGCCAGCAGGGAATTGTCTGCTGCCCTTTGCCTGGCTGACCACCTCTGCTTTTCTCAGCTCATTACGTGTTGACCACCTGTTCATTCCATTACTGTCTTCTGACAAGGAATTGGACAAGCTAGATGATGTCCTGTTACTAGAACTATACATATGTAGGGAACCACCGTGAGGGCACGAGAGGCTCCGGAACGACAGAGCAGTGAGCTTCTGAACTTCATTATCAGCCTCTTCGGAGTCGCTCCCAGCGCTGGAGTTCTCAGCGCAATACTGGGGGTAGGAGGCCTTGCTAATCACAGGAGCTCTGCTGCCCTTCGTATTGCGCGCTTTGAGGAACATCTCCCTGGGTTTCGGTGCATTGAATCGTAAAGGTGGATCCAAATATTTAGACCCACCGCCTCCAGGCTGCAGCTCTCTTGTGGCTAGACCCATCCTGCTGCTGTACCCTGGAGCAGAGCTATTCTTAGCAGGGCCTGTGATTGACATCTGAACCTGTTGCTTCTCCTTGGCACTGAGGTAGCCTCTGTATCTGCAAACTTGATTGCTTGTGGCACACTCCCTGCCTGCCTGGGGGCTCAAGGTCCTCTCAGCTGTGGCTGTTAAACTCCCCCCTGAAGCCCGGCTTCTATTTAAAGCTGAATGAACTACGGCTGCAGAGGCAGCAGCACAAATATCACCAGCATCTTTGCTGTTCTTATCAGGCAGCTCCCATGTGGCTTTGTCAAAATCGCTTAGCGTCCCATGTAGTTGCCCCGCTGTGTCCTCAGAAGCGCTTGGCCAGAACCCTTTCACGCCAGCCGGGCTCCGTTCAGGAAGGCTCACCGGTGCAGTTTTGTTCTTGCAATGCAGGTCGCTTTCATCATCTGGGTCACCATCAGGCGGCTGGGTTAACAGAGCGTCCCCTTCGTCTTCCAGAGACTCCGTGCAGTCCTTAAAACTCTCAGCCCCCTCTGAGCACAGAGCAGTGTGGTAAGAGGAGACAGAGGAGTCCGATGTGTCCTTTAGGGGGTCTCCTGGGGACTGGCTAGGTGTGTGGCTGTTCTTTTCTGAAGCAGCTTCTTTGCATTCAGAGTCACTGAAGGTCCCCTCCCCACTTAATCCATCAGGCTCAGGGGGCTGCCCCGGCCTAGAGAACTGGACAGTATTTCTTTTCACTGCAGGGATCATTTTTTATTCCCTGCAGCACATGCTAGGTTCAGAGGAGTCCATTTGAAAATGCAACTCAGGCACCTCTTTATATTTGTTGGAGCTGGTGCTATTTCCCCTGGGACTTGAGAACCTGATCTTCTCCGGGGGCGCATTTTCCATCCCCACCGTTTGATATGGTCATAATAAAGAGCAAAACCTGTTATAGGTTGCCAGCCTAGGAAAGGAGAAACAAACAGATATCATATGCTAGCAGCACAACTGACAATAACTGCCCAGAGCCAAGGTATCAGTGATTTATTTTTGTTTTCAAGCAAGGCAACAGAATGAAAAGTTCAGCTCAACAGTATGTATTCAGGAAGCCGTTCCGAAATGCAGCCAGCTATACACTATGCTCTGAGAAACAGCTGTGAGATGCAGTCCTAACAAAATACCCGCATGGTTCTCATGCACGGACTGCTCAGCTGGAGAGGTGCTGTGAGAGGCAGCACCCTTTCCATAATCTAACAGGTCTCTGCCTAGATTGCCCCTTTCATGTACGGCGATTTAGTAGCCGCTCTCCCAAAAAATGGCCAGGATGATGAGAACAATACTAAACATCCATGAATAAATCAGAGATAAAGATCATAATATTATAGAAATGCAGGGCTTGAAGGGACTTTGAGAGGTCTTCTGGGCCAGCCCCCTGCACTGAGGCAGGACCCAGTAAAGCTAGACCATCCTTGACAGATGTTTGTCCAACCTGTTCTTAAAGACCTCCAGTGATGGGGATTCGCAACCTCCCTTGGAAGCCTATTCCAGAGCTACACTAGCCTTCTGGTTAGTTTTTCCTAATATCTAACCTAAATCTCCCCTGCTGCAGATCAAGCCCATTACTTCTTGTCCTACCTTCAGTGGACATGGAGAACCATTGATCACCGTCCTCTTTAGAACAGCCCGTAGCATATCTGAAGACTGTTATCTGGTCATCCCCTCTCTCAGTCTTCGTTTCTCAAGACTGAACACGCCCAGGTTTTTTGTGTTACAAACAAGCATTCACAAAAAAGTTCCCTTTATTATGAGTATTAGATACTCAGGTCCAAGCGGTTTGGATGCCCAATTCCCATTAAAATTAACAAGAACCAGGCATCTCTCAACCCCCCTAGACTGTTCGGAAAGTCTTAGCCTCAAAATTCATTCTGTAACAACACAAGCCCCTTAAAGCTGGATCATTTCCAGCTGTACTTTTCACGTAAATTATTAAAATGTTTTATTAGTGAAAAAATCCGAGCCCTGTTGGGCAGCTCTTGTGCCGTGTAATATCACTGCAGGGTGAAATTTTCCAAAGCACCTAAGTGACTTAGATTCATACCCAGATTTTAAAACCAGAAGGGACCGTTGTGATCACCTCATCTGACCTCCTGCAAAACACAGGCCATAGAACTTCCCAGAATTAATTACTTTTCAAATCCAGTAGCTGTGGCTGATCTAGAGCATATTTTGAAGTATTGAGGGCTGTATGGGAATTTCAAGCTATCACTTTAAGACTGTGGAGGGCTTGTTAGTCCTGCTGGCAGGCTAGGGGGCTTGGTAAGGAAGCCTCAAAGTGTACATTCAGAGTCAGTCTGAAAAGGTCCAGTTTAAAGAAAGGTGGGGTGAGTTGTGCTTCTCGCTGCCTTACAGAGCAGCCTGTTTTCTCTCTCTTGGGATCATGGTACTCATTCTGGATTTTAAGACAGAAAGTAGTGGTATGTTGCAAGCTTCCAGCAAGAGTATGCATATTTTTTATCTAACTTCTCAGTATGTGTGTCATGAACATAACACACAGCTTTTAGAGAAACATCCAGTCTTGATTGAAAGATTTCTAGTGATGGAGAATCCACCACAACTCTCTCCAGAGGACTTAGGCACCTAGGTGCAGATTTTTAAAGGGGTTTAGGTGCCTAACTCCCATTGAGAATTAAGGGCCTAAAAACCTTTGAGGACCTGACTGTTAGGTGCCAAAGTGCAATTGACTTTTAATGAGATTTAGGCCTTGAAGTCACAAGGTGCTTTTGAAAAAACCTGAATGTAATTATAATACTAATGATGGTTAATCACAGATAAGCACTTTCATTAATCAACAGGCTGGGTTTCATTTTTTCCTTTCAAAAGAACTCCCAGTAGGGGAAAGACCTTCTCACAAGCAAGCAGTGCCATTAGCTTTTATCATTTTCCTCCAGGCAAATTGATTTTACTGGGCGTCAGCACCTTCACAGGCATGTCCTCCTCATGCTAATCTGTAGCCCCAGGGTTCCCCAGTGCATATTTATTTTGCTACTATCATTGTGGGATTGCACTCAAAACTGCAAAGACAGTGAAGAAAGCAATTGCAGTGTGAACGGTTGTTATTGATTAATAAGAATGTATTTATACAGCTCAGGGTTATAGAGATCTGGCCTTGGCCTGCCAAACTTCACTCGGGCAAGTAGCGGTTGCTCATGCAGGCAGGCCCTTTGGAGTGACTGGATTGTGTGAAAGGATTACTCGTCTGAGGAGGGATTTTTTAGGCTCAAGCCAGAGGCAAAATTTACAGCAAGTAGAAACAGGCCCTGTGCTGGGAATGTGACAGATCCCTTTACAAACAGCAGTTCAGAACCAGCTTCTCAGGGAGGGCCTTGATGGCATTTTAAAATTACAGATGCTTGGCAAACTGGCCCCCCAGGATCACTGACTCAGTGTCTGGAGACAAAGAATGCAGCTATCGATTATATATGGAGGGAAGGTTTCATCTGGAAAGGAGATATTTACTCAACACCTCTGGATTAGCTCATACCCATGACCTCCCCTAGCTGCTCAGGCCCAGACCCTTCCTGGCCCTACAGGGTCTGGATTGAGGGCAGGGTCCAAGGAGATCCCGAGTGAGGGCCAGGTAGAATTATACTCCCTGAGTGCAGGCCTGAGCCCAAAGGGGTGGGGACACCTGGAGAAGAGGTGGTGCCAGGGCTCTGTCTCCCATCCCCCACTATTTTGTGTAGCAGTGGGCACACTGGCTGTGTGCAGGGGCATTCTTCTTACTTGAGGCAAAACGCCTCTCACTCCGCGCTTAGAAAAAACAACAATTATTTGTCATGGGAAATTTTGAAAATTTTTCATTACAATAGTTTTTTTTAAACGAGTGAAAGTTTTGTTGGGTTTCCAACAAAAAACGGGAACCCCCTGCCTCCCAAATGTGCGGTTTTTGATACACAATTTTCAATAAAACATGTTCAGTTTTCAAAAACAAACATGAGACAATCTCTACCAAAGCCCACAACATTTTCTACTGATATTTTTTTCAATTTCCAGGGTTCTCAATGAAAAACTGGCCAACTTTGAGCAAAATAATTTTTTTTAATGCAAAAATATTTTAATGAAACAATGTCCAGCTGCTCCAAAGGGAGCAGTGCCTGTCCCTTGCTGTGGATTTTGCTTACAAGCCACATCAAATCCTCCATTGTTCTGTGCTGCTTCCACTGAAGGCCGGGGGATAGTTTGCCATTGATTTCAAGGAGAGCAGCAGTAGGGTCATTAGTTCTATAGTCTGGAAAAACCCCCATTGTTTGCAGTGGGAACAGAATCGGGCCCTAGGAGAAGAGCATAGGCTCTGGCCCTTAGATAGCTCAGAACAGGATAAAAGTTGGACTCAAAGCCTCAGTCTGAACCCTACTGGGCGTTGAGGTAATTTGGATCAGATCCAGGGCTGAACCCTGCAGTTCAAACCCATCTCTAAACCGAAGGGTCACTTTGCATGGCATTTATTTCCCTTTCTCTAAGAGATGAAGGATAACAGAGCAGCTGCCTTTTTGCTGCCCAGGGCACCCTTGGCAATATTTACAAATGTAAGTATTATCACTACAGATCCTTTGGTTCCATCTTGCCCCCCCCAACCAGTAATGGCCTGACAAAAAGCAGGCCTGAGACTCTCCCCAAACCACCCCCCTCCAAAAAAAAATAAGAAAAAAAAAATAGCCGGGCAATAGATGTTTTGCAGCATGCAAGGGGCAACATATATAGATGCTTTTGGACCAAGCTCTCAAGTTGAGGGCCCTTGCAGACAACACCCTGCTTGGACCCCCCTCTTTTTTTATACATAGGGGGCTCCAGCTTATTTTGCCTAAGCACTGACAGAAGGAAATCCACAGTTAAAATCAGTTGCACCAGGATCATTTATTTAATGTGGCTTTTCTGCATCCCTCATTTCAGAGATGCCTCTCTCCCCCCCCCCCGCCCCGCCCCTCCTCTGAGGACAAAACTATTCACAAGTGACTGCTAAATTAAGAAAGTTTAAATTACCTTTGGAAGTACTCAGGGTACTGTGGCAAGTAACCTGTGTTCTTGTGAGCATTTCACAGTTTCCAAATGCCAAAGGCTTTACCCAGCTCTCCGAACATCAGTGCCATAGTGAAATAAAGCTGAGACTGTTAAGGGTACATCTGACACTGACTTAGACAGTCATTTCACAGTGGAGGGATCCAACCACACCATTCCCAAAGTGGGTGCCAAACTTGTCTCAACGCCAAGAATGAATTCTGTCTCTGCAGAGCTTGAAACCAAATCTGCCTTTGGAGCTGACAGCTCCGAGCTCATCCATGTTTAGAAAAAGTTGTGTGAAGAAAGATCTTCTTGATTGGGTTCAAAGCACGTGGATCTGCATCTGAACATCAATGAGATGCAGAAGTGTCAGCTTCATAGCTATAAAATCAGATGCACTAGGCTGGTCTTACTGGAGATTATGGTCTGGGTTGTTGTTGGTTGTTAATATAGATCAGCAAAATAACAGCGGCAGGTGCTGATGCATCAGAGCTGTGCCAGGTTCAGAAGTAACTGAAGACTCCTGTTCAATTGGGTTCACATAGGGGACTAAATATAACCCTTAGCAATTAAAAAAAGATGTTACTAGAAATAACTCTCAGGGCAATTAACTCTTCTGCGTTCAGACAACCTGAAGACTGTTTGCTTTGCTTGATCACCTGGTTATTTTAGCTGCAGCCTTTGGGGCCTGACCCTCCAGGGTGCTGAAG